AAATATAAACTAGACAAACGTGCATTGCACATTGCTTGTACCTGGTACATTAACAAATGTGATCAAATGGGGACCCATTATAACAAATTTAAATACATTGTGACTCATAATCATACATAGTTTTCTATTCAAAGATGACTATTTTCATTATGAACTTCTCAAAATTTTAAAACAAACAGAACACTATGGTTTCAATGAGGATGTTTCTCTCTTTGAGTCTCATTTTATGAAAATACAAATTTTGTAATAGTTTTTTTTTTTTTTTAGAATGTGTGATTAAAAAATAAATTTTCAAAGAATGTGATCCAAAATATGTTGAAGAAAGAGGAGACACGCTTTCGTTGAACACGACGGCCCATGTACATGGACATTGGGAAGCGGAAAATTTCGTTTCTACATCATAATAAAACAAAATTTCAAAATATACCACGCGATGTTTATAATTTATAAAATACTGCGTGAATTGATAATTAATTTAGGAATTACTCTATACCAAATATAAATGTCATAGAGCCTTTTATAATTGATATATTTTATATTAACCTAATATTAAGCTTCACATTCAATGTCCATTTAAAGTCCATTACATAATTCAAAAATTCATAATAGGCAACAGGATTTTACGCTGATGTGTGGGTTTACTCAATACTCTCTTTGATTTATTCTGTATTTATACATCGAAAAAAAATAAAATCGTGATTGCAAAAAAGTGAAATATGTGTTGTGGAAGAAATTTCGAAAAACAACGATTATTTAAAAATGAATGCTTCGATTGGGTTAAATGTGGTTATATCATACAACAAAATTTTGAAGGATTAAAACGAGATTTGAATCTGATACATGATCGGTTCGTGTGGACGAATTTGGTAGTGTTGAGAGGATTCTAGATGGGCGAGAATATGAATGAATATGGATAATCAAGAATTAGGGGATTTTGACTTGATTTATTTGTGTAATGGTGTTTCTGGTGAATCAAGATCAGCTCCAAATTGATTATCAATTAGGAGTGAATTGATTTTTTTTTTTTACTATCATATTTAAAGTAATATCGGGATAAAAAACATCACGAAGTATTTTTTGAAATTTTATCAAATATGATGTATTGGGTATAATTTCGACTTTGGGAAGTTGTGGTCGACGTTAGCCCCCATTTTTTCCATTACATTACATTAATTTTTTTTCTTTTTTTTTAATCACACATTCATCAAATAAAATAATATTACATACAAATCTAAAACTTTTCATTACTTTTTCACCACACATTCTCCTTTCAATCACTATTCTAAAAAATTTCAACACCCCAAAATGGTGGCCAAACAGGGGCTAAGTTTCTTTTCTCAAAACTCCCTTTAGTTTACTCATACTCTCTTTGATTTATTCTGTATTTATACATCGAAAAAAAATAAAATCGTGATTGCAAAAAAGTGAAATCTGTGTTGTGGAAGAAATTTCGAAAAACAACGATTATTTAAAAATGAATGCTTCGATTGGGTTAAATATGGTTATATCATACAACAAAATTTTGAAGGATTAAAACGAGATTTGAATCTGATACATGATCGGTTCATGTGGACAAATTTGATAGTGTTGAGAGGATTCTAGATGGGTGAGAATATGAATCAATATGGATAATCAAGAATTAGGGGAATTTTTGAAATTTTATCAAATATGATGTATTGGGTATAATTTCGACTTTGGGAAGTTGTGGTCGACGTTAGCCCCCATTTGGCCCCCATTTTTTCCATTACATTACATTAATTTTTTTTCTTTTTTTTTAATCACACATTTATCAAATAAAATAATATTACACACAAATCTAAAATTTTTCATTACTTTTTCACCACACATTCTTCCATCAATCACTATTCTAAAAAATTTCAACACCCCAAAATGGTGCCAAACAGGGGCAGAGTTTCTTTTCTCAAAACTCCCTTTTGCTTTTTCTTTATTTCCTTTTTGCAAGTTAGGTTTGTCTTGGCCCAATTTTTGGGTCCGTTTTAGTTGTTATGGCCCTGCTTGTTTTGGGCCCCAGTTTATTATTTTAGTGTTCATGAAATTGTATCTTATGGTAACCTTTATTATAATTTCACTTAGTATCAATCAGATAATTGTATTTTAATTTAATTTCAATTAGGTAACTCTATTCAATTCTATTATTTGAACCGACGTAATGAGATAGTAAAAAATGATTGTCGTCATTTATTTTATTAAAGTTGTATTTATTCCACATAAGTAACTAATGTTCATGGCTATTATTTATTAATTGTCACGTCATCAATTATATCCGTAGAATTGAACGGAGATATCTCAATTGAAATCAAACCAAAATGCAGTTACCTGATTGAAGTAAAATTAAAGTGGACTTTGAATACTAGAAATCAAAGGTATGGAACTCATCATCAAAAGGTTGAAAGGTTAGAGGCCTCCAGAGCTAGTTTCCCAAACTTTAAAGAAATAAATTGAAATTCAGTGGTCATGGTAACATTAAATGGAACGTTCGATGTCATGAAGAAATAAACTAAAGCTCAATTATCATGGTGACACTAAGTGGAAGCATGGTGACAATTTGTGAAAACAAACTTTTAGCCTCTGTTTGGTATCTATTCTTTTTTTCATTCTCATTCTTCTACTAATTTTCAACCACACATTCATCAATAAAATAATATTTTCCATCACATCAATAACTTTTCCTTCATTTTCAACCACAAAAAAGGTGTGATTTGACACAAAGAATACATTTTTTTCTAGAATAATGGTTACCAAACGGTGCTTTATATGTGAATTTCTAGTGAAATTTCGATCTAGTCACTAAAATATAATTTCGTGTCAATTGATATACTTTACTATAATTTCGTTCAAATCTCAACGCATTGTCGCCGATGTCTCCTTAATTAATGAAAAATTCTCAATTGAAAGTCATATCATAATAAATCTTCTACCGTGTGACGTATCATTAAGCCCTCGTTTGATCCCCATTATTTTCAAATTACATTTTTCTTTTTCTTATTTTCAATCACATATTTTCAATAAAATAATATTATACACAAATCAAAACATTTTTCTTATTTTTTTAGCCATACATTTTCCTCAAAATGTTATTCCAAAATACATTATTTCCAAACAAAGGGGCTCGAACATGCTCAAATCTACCAATACACCATTTTATAAAAGTGTTGAATCAAAAGACATGTCTTTTAATATTTTTGGAGTCATTGCCATACCCCTCGTTTTATTATTTTTTGTGTTTTAGGGTCTCATGCAGCGATTACCCAAAAGTTCACTTGGGTATAGCTCCATTAAGCAATTTCTAACCTTTTGGGGAGGATAAAGTGTTCGAATTGAGATAAACTAAAACTTAATGATTCAATTGAAATTTTACTAAAAGTTCAGTTACCACAGACAAAATTTACCCCAATCATAAGACTTGTAGCAATTAGACACGAGTTGATGTTTTTTTTTAAGGGTTATACCACTTCTACATCAAATGATGTACATCAAGAGTTATACCCCCCTCACATGAAGAATGAGATCCACTGAAATAATATTTTTTTATTCAAGTGGACCCCACCCCCATGTGAGGGGGGGAGGGGGGGTGTAACCCCCGATGTAAAGCTTGATGTACCACTAGCATGATCCTTTTTTCAATCCCTAAACCAATTCTTATATTTCCACAACAGACTTACAGTACAAGAAGTTCAAATTTAATCCAATGTTTTCAAAGTTGTCGAGAGTCAAATGTTTGAATTGAGATAATCAATTTTTTAAAACTTTCATCATTATGAAAATTAATAAAGACTTCATCATTGATCAAATAATAAATTATAAATATAAAAAATATTCGTAATACGTGGCTTATTACTTTTTACTTAAATATTTTTATTTATTTATTTACTATTATCTGCTGACATATTTTGAAGTAGTGTATTGATAAACAAAACTTTGCATCAATTATTTAGATTATCTTCCAAAGAAAGTAATTGGGTTACAGGTACCATCCTTCTATTTTCTAAAGTGGATGGATTATAATTTCCAATGTCGATCATTGCGATTATCTTCCTAAAAAGTAATTTTAGAAGTACCATCCTTCTATTTTCTGAAGTAGAAAAGCTTTTCTAAAGTGGTGGTGGCGGTAAAGAAAGAGATTTTTTAATTTTTCTTTCATTTTTTTTAAGAATAATGCTATCCAATATCACTGATGCTACAATACCAGTTTAGATGATGTTAAGTGATATACTCAATTTAATATAAAATTAAGTGATTCATTTAATGTCATATTAGTGCTACTTAGATAAGTGTTTTAACACCAATCATGTTAAATAGCGTTATTCATTTTTCAAAATTGTTTTAATTGAGATCTGTGCTTTTTGAAACAGTTGAGATAATGCCCGCAATTTATTTTTTATCTTTCTTCTTCTTCTCCTTTTGTATATTTAAAGATGAATGCAAATTCGTCATTTACAAGGCTCTAATGAAAAAAATGGATGGAAATGTTATTTCTCGCAACGTTTGTTTGATCTGAGGAGGTTTTGCGCCAAAAAAAAAAAGGGGGTTATGATTATTTTGCTGAAAACAAGTAAAAGGATATGATTGTTTTTCGCCAATTACTCTTAAAAAAACATTAATTTTAAACCTTATTAATGTTTGGTTCTTCTTTAAGTATTTATAAATTATGAATCCTAGCCCGCCATTCCAACTAGCAAAGTAAAAGCAACCTCAGTGGTTTGATCTTAGAAATAAAGTAAAATCTTTCTTTGTACAAAAAACAGCAATTCAAAGAGGGGATTTGAAAACATCCATGTGAATACATACGGAGAAAAAACTGCGTTGTCCCATCTTTTTAGAGTCGAGAGGAGCATTTGAAAACAGGAAAGAGAGAGCCTAATAAAGCTGCTGTCTCCTGTCATGAATCCATCTCCTCCTGCATAGAAAATACACACAATGAATTCAAATAAATAAACGCATATGGGACCCACCAACTTTTATCAACCATTTGAAATTACTTACTCAACCATGCTACACGTACATTATTGGATGACATTAAATTTGACATTCTTTCATGCGGTAACACGCTACACCATTGATTTTAAACACATTCATACCATCACTGACCTGATTTCTTCTATCTATGAGGGTGTCAAACTTGTTGTCAAGTTAAAATGTATATCTAGCTTTATTTCTTACTTTAACTTACCAATGGTAATCCCATCTGGGACGGGATTTATACATCCGGTTTTCACCATAAGGGTAATCCGATTCAGCCCTTTTCGCATTTTGGAAAGCACAGCAGCCAATGCAGTAGATTCCAATGAGGACGATAAGCATAACAATGTTGAGGACTGAAATTTTGTGCCAATTTCTTCTTACATCTTCGAGAACTCCGGCCTTGCACGAATCACACTCGTAGCACAGAACGTTCGGATCGTTGTTCCAGCGATAGCAGTCAGACTCTTGTGCCACCATTGTTGATGCATAGTTGCATGAAGTTGGCGGCTTACAGCAACCTGACTGTTAGTTAAAGTGGAGGAGGATCAACAATGGTCATTTGATAATTATTCTAAGTGTTGTGACTTTTCTATGAATTCGAAAGTCTCAAAGATGTAACTTTACCTAAAACAGAAAATCACCAGCACGACATATTTTAACAAAATTGCTGATCAATCACAACAAAGAAAAAATAACCCAGGTATATGAACATAATTCCTGTCTTCTCAATGTTGGATAAAATAACAGTAAAGTGGAGAAAAACTTATTAATAGATCGAGTCTCGTGACAGCACGATGTCTTAAAGCGAAATTGCCCGTCGATAACTGCTGCGACCTCTGTGGACAATCACCTCCAGGATACAACGATCAAATAAACCAATTGTGCAGCAATCACAAAAGGTTTTCAGAACTCTCAAGTGTACTCCAGAAATTTGTAAAATTAAGAACAATATTTGTACTGTATAGAAATATATAATCTCGTTTTTGTTGTTATTTTCTAATACCCAAAAGTGTGTTTATATAGGCAGAAAGAGATGTAACTTCTTCCACCATGATCTAGTATTAAGTTGCAGATGTAATGGCCAATGATAATGAGTATTAATATTGGGCAGTTAAAACTGTCATATTCTACTGGCTAGTTGACCCAATAAATAATTCCGAAAATAATAATTATTTTATTAGAATCATGGTGGAATAAAGCCCAAGGCCCCAAGGTCCAATCAAAGACTTTTTAATATAGTGCGTGAGGCGTGGCTCGAACACCTGACCTCCCACACAAATTCCACACTTTTCACCAGTTGGGCACTTCATCTTAATTAATTATTTCTTTCACATATTATATTTATTGTATAAATATATAACACTCGAGAAAGTTAAAAATTGCATGTCTCTCTCTTAACGATGGTGAATCTTAAATTTTATCCCATAATTTTTCCTTTGGATTTAACAATTAAACTAGCATGTTTTGGTTCTCGTTTTTAAAAGCTTAAGCCGTTAAAGAAGTAACAATCTTGTGCTAAGACTATTTGAGATAGCTAGGAACAAATATATCGACATCACATCATTTAAAAGTTTAAATTGTTAAAATAGTAAGTTGTAAGATGAAAATATATATTACCTGAATTGGAGACAAGTCTTTGGTCAGATAATCAGAAGGGGTCCACAAAACAACCTTAGCACAAGCCTTTGAACCCAAGATACAACTCTTAACAGTCATCCAATAATGAGGATCCTTAATCCTTTTCCTCATCCATGAAGAATAATTATCAAGATGGAACTCACTGTAAACCCTACCGGCCACCACGGCACCACCACCCCGGCTCGTAACGACAAATCCAAACACAGTCAAGGCTAACAAAGTCCCTATAAGCAACAACATCATAACCAGATACACCCAAAGTGCCCATGCAACATGAAAACAAGCCCCAATGAATCCAGCAAGTGATACTATAAGAATTATGAATCCCACGATCAGAAGTGGTGTCTGAAGGAAACTTTCGCAGGTTGTACTACTTCTTGCCATCCATAAACCAGCACCAATGATTGGGATTGAGGCTAAGAGAGTGAAAAGATTCAAGAAACCTATCACTGTGTTACTTAATCTATACATCTCTCTATGTAAGTATGTAACTCAACTCTGTGTCTGTGTGAGAGAGAGAGAGAGAGAGATAGAGTTTATTGGAATGATCAGTTTGGGATTTGTGTTTCTTTTTCTTCTTCTTGTTGATTCTGCTTTATCTTTACATTGGGTGGCCATTTAGGTACTGCCTTTTTAATTTTTTTTTTTTATCTGTGATGGATTAAATTAATGCATCTCATCTCACTTTTTTGCATAGTTGCGTTTAAGTTATTCAGAAATGTATCATCACATTTGACAATTATCAACAATTAAAGGCACTTCTTAGACATTAAGAAAACTTTATGAACAACTTAGGTTGCTTTTAAATGTAATACAATGCAATGTAACAAGAAAAGACATGAGAGAACACTAATTTAAAAAAGAGTATCATGTATAAGAAAGAAATCACATGAACAAATTAGCGTTGTTAAGATAAGTAAATCCAAGTTTTATATGTTGAGTATTGTTTTTTTTTTTTTAGACGGTAAAATGGATTATATTAATCAAAAACCATATACAAATACTCCGGGCATACCCGGGTAAATCAACAATGAAGTAACAATGGAAATACAACTACTATGAGCATTCCCAAGTAATCAATCAAAACAAAAGATATAAAGGAAAGACAAGTCAACCTATCACTAAAGACTCGTAACAAATCAAAACATTAGGATAAAAGAAAACATTACTTTGTATACGTGTGTTTTGATTCGTCGTACAATACTCTCAACACGTGGTTTCAAATTTCCAAAAACCATTTTATTTCTAGCCATCCAAATGTAGTAGACAGAGCTAATTAAAGCAATCATTCTAGCTTTGTTTCGTCATGAGGTTCCTCTAGCTTCATTCTTTATCCACTTTAGTGCAGAGTATTGTTAATGGTATATTAAGGCGACGTGGGATTTTACCCTTAATATTTTATACATGGTCATTTACCGACTTAACCAAAGAGGTCCCAAGGATAATGATCTCCTCCTTTATATGTGCTATATATTTCACTTCAATTTGGCAAATTGACAATTTTTTTATTCATCTTAATAGATAGAGGAATTAGTGGAGAATGATTAGGTAACTCAATCCATTTTTCACACTGGCCTTTCTCCTTTTTATTTTATTTATTAAATATATTTAAATTAGAAGAAATCCACAAAATATCCATTTTACCCCTATGTTGAACATTATCGAATGTTGAAGAGCCAAGAAATCACCTCGTACCATAAGTCGATCATTCAAGGCTAGGTTCTATCTCCTTCTTCACCTTCATCTCTCATATTGTGTGGTAGAATTTATATAAATGATTATTTTCTTCGTTTTATTCGATTAGTTTCTAATTTTTTTTTTTTGCTTATAAGGTTATTGGGTAATGTGTTTTATAATTTAAATTTATCTATTTATATGTAAACTTGCTTTGATATTCAAAGATTTAAACAAAAAAAATATATTCCTAGCGTTAAAAGGAAATTGATTAGTATCGGGATCTACGAAAATTTTTTCACAGACGGGGTGAGGTTTGTGAGGAAAAAAATTCTCCTGCTCCCAAGTTTAAAATGAAGGATATTTTCGTCATTTCACGTAAAAGAGCCTTTATCATTTTGCTCTAGTGTGATATAAATTTTAATTTAAGTTAAATTTAATAATTAATTTTAATAACAGAGTTTTATAATTTTTGAACCACACGTTTGATGGACTTTTATTGAAACTTACTAAAAATCAATTTTAATTCCCCACCAAACATGGATTGTTTCATAAGTTAGACTTCTTCTCCAAGTTGTCTTTGAGCCTGTTTGATTAGACTATAGCGAAAGTTCTCCTTAATGTTTTTCTATGCTTCTATTGAGATTTGATTTTATCTTAAAAGTATTGATTAGAATTTTATGCTTTAAAGGAGAAAAAATTTGCGGTCAACAATCTCCATCTAGAAAGAAATTTATTTATTTTACTAAATTGCCTAATTATTCAAGATGTATAAACAATTTTTTATTTTTTTTTAATTTTTTTAATTACGCATGGAGTAGTTTTTAAAATCTGCCTACAAATATTCATTTTCAGGTGAATTAAAGTATAATCTAACTTCGAAACGATTAGTAGATATTAATAAATTTGATTTTAATAATTAATTTTGGCTCTTAATAATCAAGACAGAAAGAGGTAAACCCTAACAATTTTCTTGCCGAATTTGATTCTCTTTATCGTCAAGGCGCCGGAGAAACAAATCGTATTGGTATGTTTTTGTGTTTAATCTCAGGTAATATTTATGATTTTATTTTTTTATATTTTCATGCACAATTTTTTTTAATATAATATCTATACAGCGTAATGAATAAATTTTTATTATTTGTATAATTTTTTTTTTTGAATTCATGTACTTAGTGATCAGTGGTAATTCTTGGATAATGGATCCTTCTTTGTTTGTTAACTCTCTGTAGTTTACAAAGAAGCGGATGCTCTGTGCTTGTTTTACAATAACCAAAAATTATACAGTTTGTGTTCTTTTAATCCTTATATAGTTGGTATCATTTTTAATCTGATTCTTAATACTGCAATTCTGTAATAGAAGAAAGAAGCGATTTGGTTCCGACGTTAGACTTGGAATAAGGTACGTATTTCCTTGTGCTTCTGTTTATTTGTCTGAAGATTCCTACTTGTATGTGCACTGAATTTTGACTTTCGTTCTTTCACAGGGATAAACAAATGCTATGACATGTTGCAATACAATTTTAAATAGATTACAGTGGTTCCCACTGGGAAGGATTTAATTGATAGCATTCTCTCCAGCACTCAATGTCAAATGCCGGCTGTTGTTCACAAGGGATATGCCATCTCATTTATCCATCAGTTTCACATGCGCAAAGTAAAGTATTATCTGCAAAATTTTCATGATAACCTTTCTACCGTTTTCGAGGAATTCCCCGGCTTGACGATATCCATCCTTTCTATGGTGGCCTTCTCCATGTTCTGTACAAGTATGCTCTTGGTCAAATCAATACTGCTAGGAACCTGATTGGTAAGATTGCGAAGGACTAGTGATATTATTGAAGTATGGAGATTCTCTGTACCGATGTGAGTCCTTGAAAGTTGCTGCTTTAGGCCGTACTATTGAATGGGTTGGCCATATTTTCGCATATCTTGAACGGATAAGACAACCAATGGCAAGGCTGCCTTCAATTGATCCAAATGCTCGGACAATCTTGATTTGTGGGTACCCAAATGTTGGCAAGAGCTCATTTATAGACAAAATTACGATGGTCAATGTGGATGTACAACCTTGTGCTTTCACCACGAAATCTCTATTTGTTGGTCATACTGACTACAAATGTCTAAGGTACCAAGTGATTGACACTCCAGGGATTTTAATGAGGCCATTTAAAGACCGTAATATCGTTAAATGTACATCAATACAGCTCTTGCCCATTCCAGAGCTGCAGTATTGTTTTTCCTTGACATTTCTGGATCTTGTGGGTACTGTATTGCACAGCAGGTGGCTCTTTTCCACATCATTAAGTCATTGTTCATGAACAAGCGTTGATTATAGTGTGTCATAAGACTGACTTGCAGCCATTGGAAGAGATTTCTAAAGATGATGTGAAGCTGGTAGTGGATATGAAAGTAGAATCTGTGAAAACTTTGATAGGTCAAGGGGGTAAGCCAACAAACTATGAAGGCTTGCTCTTGACTATGAGCACTTCGACTGAAGAGGGGGTAATTGCAGTAAAGAATGCAGCTTGTGTTAGGCTGTTGGATCAGAAGGTGAAATTAAAGATGATGTCGAAAAAGTTGAATGACTCCCTGAACTGCTCCCATATTGCAACGCCTAAGCCAGGTGACCCGAAGGAAGGCCACGCGGAATACCTCTGTCTGGCTTAGAAGTTAAAGCTGAGAAAGCTGAGCAATCTGAAGAGAAACCGAAGAAGCTGGAGAAGGATCTGAAGAATTAGAACGGAGGTGCAGGCATATACTCTGTGAACTTGAGAAAGCATTATATTTTAGCAAAAGATGAATGGAAAGAAGACATAATGCCTGAAATTCTGATTTGGCACAATGTATACAATTTTGTTGACCCTGATATATCATAAAGGCTTGAAGAGTTGGAGAGAGAAGAATGTATGCACCAGGAACAACAGCAGATGATATTTTGAGATGAAAAGGGATCAAATGGTCCCTGAGAAACAAGTCACTGGCAGAAATCAGAAAGAAGAAAAGCTGGCTCATGCAACAGTACAGAATGAAGAAGAACACTGCAGAGAGCTGACCAACTGTGCCCAGAAAACGTGGTAGAGACAGACAGTGCACATCAAAAGGAATGCGGAGACAGCTATCTACTTTGGGACGTGATCCAACTCTGGCAATCAACCGTGCTCGTAGCTAGTAGGCGGTTGTAAGAGGGAGAGATCAATTGACCAGGGTGATCAAAGTGGTGCTGATAACTTGGATATGGATGGTAACCTACCAAATAAGACGCTGTGATTGAGGTCAAGATTCCAGTAGAGATCAAGGTCAAAATCATGGTTACCATATGAAGTGGTTCTGGAGACGGTTGAAGGATTCTGTTCAAAAGAAGGAGGCTGTAAAACTGGCTGAAAAATCTCACAGGAAGAGGAACAAAGATGCTCGCAGGGGAGACGCAGACAGGGTCATTGCTTCTCTAAAACCAAAGCACTCCACTGGGAAAACGCAGAGACCCTAGAAACATCCAGGTATAGTCGACTCAGGTTGGTTTCTCACATTGTTGGACACACTTCTCTTGATTAGTTCCCAAAATATTATTGACCCAAGTAAAGATAAATATGATGCAAGAAATTTTTATTTACATTATTCGAGTTTTATTGAGTACTTCAATCAACCATGAGCACAGTAAGACTTGAATTCATGGCTTTGCTATTCGAAGCATCAGCATCACATATGACTATAAGACTAACTTGTACATACTGATTTCTTGTGCTCTTTATGTTTGCCCAAAAGTACTCAAGGTGACATGCTATCAATTGCTGTCTTTCAGCTGTGTGAACAATGCATTTCCATGTGTGCTATAATATCTCGAGAGCACATTCTGTTTATCAAATCTGAATGTTCTCTGTTTTGTCTGTTTCTGAGAAGGTTCATCTGTTATAAGTTGCCCGTTTCTTGGTGTTGTTAGGCTGTGATGGGAGATGCATAAAAAAGTTTATAGGGCTATATTGATTTTGTGGAGTATCTGACTGTTGGTTGGTTGAGATCTCTTATGTTTTTATTAATCCAATTTTCACATTTAGGTATTTGTTGAAGTTACAAATTTATAAATGATAAGAATATTTTGCTTTTTTCATAAATTTTGTGGCTGCTTTGTATTTCTGCATTAAAAGACAGGAAGGTTTTTGTTCGAGTTGAATTTATCTCATCAAATATTTATAACAGATCACATAGTAGTCACAGCAGCAACTTTCCTTCTGAAATATTGCATAGGAACGTCTGGTACTGGCAGAAAGCAGCTTCACGAGCTATTCCACCTACTAAAATTTTGGGTTTTGGTCTTTTTATGTATTTAAGATTAAGATGTTATATGCATAACAATTGACTAAAGGCAGTTTACATGGAGTAACATTTGCAGCTGGCCGAGCTGATTGGCTTTAGTATTGCCTCTCAGTAAGTTGATGCAGCTGCATATATTGAAATTTAGTGGCACAAAACCAGCTCTTGCCTCCTATAGTTTGAGGAGTTAGATAGACAGTGCCATTTATTGAATCTAGTTGTGTTAGGCATCCCATTTAAATTCTCCGTTAAGATTGGCAGTATGATTGTAATGCTGACTGTTCAGTAGCGGAGAGGATTAAGGAAAATATTGGTATCGACTACTAAACATTTACTGCATGTGTTCAGTTTTCTCGTCTTTACTAAAACCATATGTATTATTAGAGTTGGAACTAGATATCAAAACTGTAGATTTCTTGCTGCTATCCACGAAGACCACGCCTGCTTCATTGCTGCAGTCACCAAACAATTGCGCAGCAGCTGATGATCTGCTGCTTGATGATCTACTAGACGCGGCTGATATGGTACTCGTGCTGCTCTGGCCTTTTCTTGTCACCTCTGCTGGAGTGGTACTTTTCCCATTTCCTCTCTCTCTCTCTCTGTGTAGGTATGCATTTGAATGTTTTGGAGTATTAGAGCGCCTAAAATTCGATTTAATTTCTCTATATTGCAGCAGTTATGAGTGTTCAGAATTACATTTACGAGTACACTCTTGATGTAATTTTTCAATGTCATGATGAGCAGAGGCTGCAGAGCTGTACAATGTTTGCTTGTGTTTTCATGTATTGTAAAAGAATGATAGCATTAAGGGAGATAAGCTTGAGATAAGGAATTGAAGAGGAAAAGAAAATACATAAACTCATCATTCAAGACAGAGGTTAGTCATCAGTGATACCTTTGGCTCGGACACTGCTAGTAGTTTTGGGTGTTGGAAGAGAGCCGTGCCAATATTGATTGTTTGGCTTCTCTCCAAAACGTCGTCATTTTAACATAAAATTTGACAAAAGCTGTCCATTGGGGACTAGTGGTGCAACTATTTTGAAGCGTCAAGGACCAATTCCTCTCATATCTAGATTAAGGACCAACGTGTTACTCAATCAATAGGTTGGGGACCAACTATGCAAATTTCTTAAAATATTTTAATTCCCGAAAAGTACATACCTCTCAAGAAAAGATGTACTTGCCTGCAATGCACAGGATAATAACCCCTTGTCATGGCAAATAGCAACTTCCCATCTGTTTTCTCACCTCATCCCATCGCTTTCATATAATATTAAAAATAATAAAAATCAATATAAATATTTATTACAAAAATTACAGATAGAACCCCACGCCCCCCGTCTCTCAGAGCCCCCATCCCCCCAACCCTGTTCTCTCTCTCACCTCACATTCTCACTTTCCCTCACCCATTTTCTTTTTGATTGCTTCCCTCACGGATAAACACAAGAACCCTCCCTTGTATACCTTTCTTCTTTTTTCTTCAAACCCTGAAAACCATTATTCCGAAAACAGCTAATTTAACAGTATATATATTGGATTTTTGATGCATATTGGGGGTTTTGGATCAGATTAAGGACAGGAGTAAGATTGGCAGAATCACCAGCTACAGTATAGGCTATATATTTCATGCCGCCGGAGCCATTGCCTTGGGATCGGAGAGACTTTCGCAAGCACGAGAGATCCGACCCCACCCGCGTTGGTGCTGCTGGAGCTTTCAGATGGCGGGACCTGCCGCACCCCCTTCATCCGCCGCCGCCTCCTACGCATCATCCCTACCATCACCACCACCAGCAACGATGGTTCTCAGATTTCCGCTCCCGCCCTCTTCCCCCTGGTGAGTTTATTTATTTCTTTGCGCGTGATTCTAGGGTTTTCTTTTGATTTATGGAAGATATGAAATTAATTCTTCACGAATCTTGATGATTTCCCTTTAACAAGTTGGAGTTAGGGATTTTGGTAACCTGGCTTCTTTAATAGCGAAGAATGGATTTAATTCGTGGAGGAATATGAAGTATGCTAGGTTTAGAAAGTTGATTAAAAGTTTCTTCAAATAGCTTATGTATAAATTTGGGAAATTTGATGTGGGAACCGGGTTTATGGGCACAATTTTTTGTGTCTGAACCTGTAAATGCATATGGTATATATATGTCGGGCAGATCTGACATGCTGGAACAAGGGGGCCTAGTCTAGTGTTGATTCATTCACTGTATCTGCATAGATCTTTAGTTATTTTGCCTTTTTTATCTCCCTTTCAAATTTGATGGAATTTTGAGTTTTATAGATGGAAATTTTTTGTGGAGAACAGACCTTTTTTTTGCCTATGTTGATTTTTTATATTTTTTTTGCCCTTTTTTTGGTGGTTGAATGTTTCTGCTGAAGGTCATGGTAAGCAGGGTGGTTGGCACATGTATCCTGAGGAGTCTGTTCGTGGATTTCCGCCTTTCGTGTCTCGGTTCAATGAAAGGAATTTAGATGACGAGAAATCTCGGCCCTTTGTGTCTCGTGGCAATGGAAGATATTTCAGAAATAGCCAGGAAAATAGGGGGTTCTTTAGCCAGAAAGACTGGAAAGTTAACTCTTGGGAACCTCCTGCATCACCTAGTATTCTTGGAAAACTAGATAATGAGGTCGATGATCAAAGGTCTGTGGGGAATATGCAAACATGCAACAATGATAACCACCACCGCAACCACAACATAAACAACTGTCATCCTGATCCAGATTTTGAGAACTCATGTGATCAATCTCAGATGAAAAGTCAGCTTGATGAGAATGGTAGCAACACTGATGGATTGGGCAGCGCTGGTCAGAAAATAGAGATAGAGAACTCACTGGGATCAATTGATTGGAAACCCCTAAAATGGTCCCGTTCAGAAAGCTTGTCTTCCAGAGGTTCTGGTTTTAGCCATTCAAGCAGTTCCAAGAGCATGGGAACGGACTCCAATGAGATGAAAGCTGAGCTGCAACCAAAGAACGTGATGCCAGTACAGTCTCCTTCCGGAGAGGCTGCTGCTTGTGTGAAATCTATTGTTCCGACTCCAGCCCTGTCTGAAGAGACAAGTTCCAGGAAGAAGCCACGCCTTGGCTGGGGCGAGGGACTGGCAAAGTATGAGAAGAAGAATGTGGATGGCCCTGAAGATGGTGCAACCAAAGATGGATTGGTCATTAGTGTTAATAAAACAGAACCTGCACATACAGACTCTGCAAACGTGGCTAATAGAAGTCCTAGAGTAGCAGTTTTTCCGAATGATTCCTCGCCTGCTACTCCATCTTCAGTTGCTTGCAGTTCCTCACCAGGTAAATTGTGCTTCTCTCTTTAAAAATATGAATTTGCCACAGTACTTGTTTATTGCTATATATCTCCCCTTTCCCTCCCCTATTAGTATCGGGATTAAATGTTAACAAAGGATCAATGGACCTATGCATCTGACAGTGAGATTTAAGATTCCATTACCAAATGCCACAATACTTGTTTATTACTATATATCTGCCCTTTCTCTTCCTTATTGAATAGAGGATTAAATGTTGAACAAAGGATCAATAGATCTATGCATTTGACAGTCAAATTTAAGATTCCCTTACCTCGTTGGGTGCATTTTCTAAATTATTGTGAATTAAAGAACAGGAGGTCTTTATGAGAATTGTTTGTTAACCATTATATCAATAGTTTTGGTTTTGAGATAATAGATCTTATCACCGCTCAGGTTTCTGTTAAACTTAACATAGTTGCTTAAAGTGGTCATGGAAATAAGATTGACAGTTAATGCTTTTTCCTTGAGCTTTTTTTTTTTAATCAACGGTTCCCTAAATTCTGGACAATTAAGACGGTTTTGGTTGCCTGGCATTGAGGTTTACCAACATGTTCAGGTTTTTTGTGAACTTCTGTCTTTACCAAAATAGCATAGGTTATCTTTTCCCTTAACCTGTCAGAGATTTATCTACCAGTATCTTTTCCCTTCATTTATATAGCTATTTGAAGGACGGGCAATGGTGAACAAATCATTTACTTATAATTAGCCTATCTTTTATGCTCTTTTTAATTTTGTATTGAAGTTTCCTATCTGAACTTCTCTTGATCTTGTGCATCAATTTGTTTCTTGCTTGTTGGCACCTGTCATGTCTTGTTAATTTTTGCCTGACTCCAGTGGTGTTTTTATGTTATGACTTATTACAAATCAATGCTGCTTTATCTAAGCTTCCATTGCTTTGGCACCTTTAATGAATTACGTAATTGTCAGTAGAGTTATCGTACAAAGCATGTAACATCTTTATACCCTGTAGTGTTGGTGGTCCAAAGTTACATCCTTGATGAAATTCAGTGAAGGAACGATGTAGCAGTCGCAGTGGTTCTCTTAACTTAATGTGCAAAGAAGTTCTTATTTAGCCTAGCAGTAAGTTGTAGTTGGAAATCTTGTCCATGTTCAGCAAATTTGTTTAAGTGTGAACTGATTTTATGTTATTCTTTTGAGCAAAGGCTGGTTGTATCAGCACCGATATTACTTTTCAACTTGATCTCATTTGAAGTTTTTTAATAATTATAACAGGTTCCGAGGAGAAACAATCTGTCAAGGCTGTCAGTGTTGATCATGATGCTTCTAATTTAAGCTGCTCACAAAGTACTCTGTCACAGCCCATCTGTCAGGGACCAGCTTTTAATTTAGAAAATTTGGAGCCCACGTCTATTGCTAATTTGAGCTCTTACATTAGTGAATTGTTACAATCTGATGATTCAAGTTCCATGGATGCTGGTTTTGTGCGATCCACTGCTATAAAAATGTTGATGGTATGGAAAGTTGACACATTAAAAGCACTCGAGATGACTGAAACTGAGATAGACTTGCTTGAAACAGAACTGAAGTCATCGATATCTGAATCTAGAATTGGTTGTTCTCATCCTCCTGTATCCAGTTCACTGCCCGGAGAATGCAACTCAAAAATATGTGAAGATCTAGTTGCCAGACCTTGTCCACTGCAGTTTGCTACTAGTGGAATTATGATTATAGAGAGCACACCTAATGCATTGGAAACTGAATTGAAAGAAGAGAACATTGATAGTCCAGGAAGTGCGACATCCAAGTTTGTTGAGGTGCCTTCTTCTGGGGAAGTTGTTTCCCCTCCCGATACAGCAAAACAGGTTGATGGTTTCTTGAAATTAGATGTAAATAATTGTAGGAAGCTGGAAGACAGTGATCTATATGATGAGGCAAACGCTAGTGGTATGCCTGCTCATGTGGATGATTTTCAACCTGTTGTAAGTAGCAGTTGTCTAACTCAGGTTACTGACAACAATTTACTTGGCAATGGGGAAGATATTTATAATTTAATACTGGCTTCTAACAGAGATACTGCAAATAGAGCTTCAGAAGTGCTTAATAAGTTATTGGCTGTCAATCAGTATCATTCCAGTGTCTCTTATTTGCAATGTGATCCAATGATAGTTAAGAAAAAATTTCTAATGAGGAGGCGATTCCTACAGTTTAAGGAGAAAGTTATCACTCTCAAGTTCAGGGCATTTCGACATTTCTGGAAGGATGCTCGTCTACTTGCTTCAATGAAAATTCTTACAAAGTCTTCCAAGAAGTTAGATAGAAGGTTTCGCTTTACACGCCATAGCTCTCAAAACCACCTTCCCTCCGTTATCCCTCAATTTTCGTATCCGAGTAAGGAATTTTTGCTTATATATTTCTTTTTATGCTTCTTCTTCCCTGCTCCTTCCTCTTTTGGTGGTTCCTTTTGACATCTTGTGCTGGCTATCTGGTGTTTACAAAATTTACGCTTAGTACTATAGCTTTTTCAACCCCTGAGAAGAAAAGGGAAAATGGAAAATCTGCCATTTTTGATGTTTAACTTCTTTGGCTTCTTTATAAATGCTTTTTATGGTTAATTGAAAGTAGAGCACTGTGTCTCTTGATTTTTGCTGCACGAATTGAATGATTTGAATCTTTTCATTAAAGAATATGAGGTTTGAATAGTTTGATGTGGTAATTTACTCTGGATAATTGGAACATGTGTTATGGCGTCTTAGAGAAATGGATGATTGCTAAGCTTCCATGTCTTTTTGATACACTTAGATCAATGGCTATTACTGAACTGAATGAGAATGCTTTTGAGCTAATTTTTTGTTGTCAGCATTTTCTCTTGGAAAATTCTGTTCTTTGAAATTTTAGCTTGATTGGACTGGTTAGCTTACAGGGTCTGATTGTTTAGTTTATGATATAGAAATTGCAATCTTTTTCAAAATCATTTTAGGGACCATGTGATCCAAGACTTTTATCTTTAGGTGCGATATTGATTTAATTCAGTTTCTTCATCTTTTCTACTTCTTGCCTTATTATCAAAAATCACTGATCATGGTACTTTTCAGCCATGCCCAACAACAGCCCCTATGTCATCTTTTTCTCCAATTCATTTCACATGAACCTTACGATTCCCTTGTCCACTAATTGGAAGGAGCCCAACAATCACATGTCCTTAGAAAATCACATCATGGTATTCAACATTCCCATTCTCTCTGCTCATGACGTGTTCATAGGTCCTTGGTTGTGGGAAAATGCACCACTGCTTTCTTTCTTTTTAATTCTGTTCCAAATAGTATGCCTCGAAGCCTTCTTTCTTCTTATTTTTGCCATAACCATTGAAATCCTGTTCATACTGCTGTTAATATGTGCCAATCAGTCCCATTTTCCTTCTTTTCTCCAATGCTTTTCCCTCTGAATTTTCTGTGATCTCTTGTCCATCATTCATATGATAAAGTCTGTTGAATTCCTTCATTTGTCTTCGGAAGACTCGATAATGATATTCCAAGTACCTATTGTTTCTGTCTGTCCATGTCATGTTATTTGGTCCTTGATTTTAGGAGAATGTGTTATTACCAAAAACCTGCTGCTTAAGATTAGTCAGCATTGCAGCTGCAAAAGGATTAGGTGCCATTCATTTCTCCTTGTGCTGCACCACATATTAAGCCCCTGTTTGAGTCATATTAAAATTTTCATTCTCATTCTTCTACTCATTTTCAACCACACATTCTTCAATAAAATAATATTTTCCATCACATCAATAACTTTTCCTTCTTTTTCAACCACACATTCTTTATCAATCTACTATTCCAAAATGCAGTATTCCAAAATAATGTGGCTCAAACACACTCTTAAGACTCAAAACTTTCAAATGATGGATAGATAATGGTCACCATGCAAGTGACCAAGAGCATGTTTGGGAGTGCTTAAGACCTCCTTGTAAGCACTCCCCAAACATGCTCTAACCCTTTTTTGAGTATTAGCAATATCAGTTTTAACAGTAAATGGTGCTATTGCAAAATAATGTCATGAGAAGATTTAGAAATATGAATACTCATAGTTTGTTTCTGTATAAAATGACATTGTGCTGTATCATCGTGATATCTCCCTTTGTGGTCCCTCATTTTCGGATGATGATATCTTCAGTTTTACTTTCACCTTTGTGAGATTTTATTTTCTTGAAATGTGAGGACTCATGAGGCTTATCTCTGCAGTCTTTTGTTTAGAACTACAAGTGGTGAATAACCTAGCCTCGTGCCTTCCTCTTTTAAACGTTGGTAGGAACTAGGAACAGTTCTGTTCTTAAGCATATAGCTTGAACAATTTCTGGAAAACTGATTTTAGCTCGATTTTTTGTTACTGAGAAGGTGGATGGATGGCTTTCACCTTTTAGCAGTTTCATGTTCGTGACTGTACTGTTTATGCTTGAATGATTTTCATGAATATCACACCTTTCCTGCTGTTTCTTTTCTTTCTTTTGTTCCTATATAAATCAATTAAAACAAAAACTGAAAACAGTATGTGGTGCATCTGGGTAGCACTTTATCTATCTTACTTGGGTTGAACGTATTGGTATGGGTATCATCGATCCCTTTATTTCATAGAAACTTGATGCTTTTTCCGCTGTTAAGACTGCTAGTAGCAAGAATTAGTTGTAACTGATATAAAAGTTCCAACTACAGCGAGCATGGCCTGTTGTACATGACCTGAATAAGTGCTTTTTTGGGTGCAAAGATACTGGTTTCGGGTGACTTGATGAGAACTTGCTCATGAACACAAAGGTAGGTAGTGGGACATGCATCAAGTAAATAACTAAAGTTCTGAGTTTTGGTCTTTCTCATTAGTTCTTTAGATGGCGAATGATGGAAGGGACTTGGTATTTAGCAAAGATTTTATGAGGCCTACTACCCATGTATTGCTACTAGTGAACTGAACACTGAGTGATCGTCTTCTTTGGAGCTTTCTTTCAATGTGTTTCTAGTTGTTCTATTGCTTATATTGCTTGGATCCTTCTTTCTCATGTTTACCTTTTAGCTAAAATGTTTTCATGGGTTACAAAATTGAACATTTAGTGGTGACTGATACTGAAATTCTCAACATTTTCTTTAACTGGTCTTTTTGCAGATGGGATTTTTCATGTGTTGCCTGAAGCAGAAGTAAGTGATTATGTGAGCAGGTTGCTTTCAAATTCTCAGATCAAACTCTATAGGAATACGTTGAAGATGCCTCCTTTAATTTTGGATGAAAAGGAGAAGATGATATCAAAGTTTATTTCCAGTAATGGTTTGGTAGAAGACCCTTGTGCTGTTGAGAAAGAAAGGTCCATGATTAATCCTTGGACGCCTGAAGAGACGGAAATTTTCATCGACAAGCTTGCTGCCTTCGGAAAAGATTTCAGAAAGATCGCATCTTTTCTGGATCATAAAACCACAGCAGATTGCGTTGAGTTCTACTACAAGAATCACAAGTCTGATTGCTTTGAAAAAGCAAGAAAGAGGCCAGACTTTGCTAAGCCAAAGAAGTCCCGATCTACTAATACATACTTGGTTGCATCAGGGAAAAGATGGAATCGCGAGGTTAATGCAGCTTCAGCTATTGCGGCTAATGTTATTGATGGTGTAGAAATTCGGCAGAATCTCTCATCAAGACACTTTTACGGTGGTTCTAGCAAAGTACTGAGGATTGATGATGGTTCATTAGGGCAATGGACCAATCTTGATGTCTATAATGATGACAGAGAAACTGTGGCTGCTGATGTGTTGGCTGGTATCTGTGGCTCCTTATCATCAGAAGTGATGGGTTCTTGCATAACGAGTTCTGTTGACTTTGGAGAGGGCTATCAGGACTGGAGGTATCACAGAGTGGGTTCTTCCACAAGGCAACCTTTAACCCCTGAAGTTACACAGAATGTCAGTGGTGAATGTTCAGATGAGAGCTGTGAGGAGACGGAACCTACTGATTGGACTGATGAGGAGAAGTCCATCTTCATTCAGGCCTTGTCATCTTACGGAAAGGATTTTGCTATGATTTCACGATGTGTTCGAACAAGATCCAGGGATCAATGCAAGGTCTACTTTAGCAAGGCCCGGAAGTGTCTTGGATTGGATCGGATTCATCCTTCACCCTGCAATGTAGTGTCTGGTGATGTTAATGGAGGTGGCAGTGACGCAGAAGGTGCTTGTGTTGTGCAGACTGGCTCAGTTATCTGCAGTGAGAAATCAAGATGTAAGATGGAAGAGGACCTTCTATCTCCTGATGTGAAGTTGAGCAGCGAATCTGATCATGTAGGAACAGTGAATTTGAAACCCGATGTTAACAAATATGAGAATTATAATGGAATAGCATCTCAGGATTCTATAGGTACTGAACCTATGTTAAAGAATTCTGCACCTACTGCTTGTCAGGTGGATAATAAGCCAGATCTAGACTTTGATGTGGGAAGCAAGGAACAAAATGGTGTTAATAGTGGGTCTGCAGCTGCTGTAGAATATAAAAATGATGTATCCTCAAATGAAGTAGCTGGGAAAGTTATTGAAGAGGCAAATGACCATGCGTCGCCAAATAGATCGAGTAGTGAGGCTGAGAATTCAGTTTTGCTCAAGGTTCCTAATTGGCATACTGGGACAGGAAATGAAGGACAAGGACACCTGTTACCTGAAGGTAGTTTGAATGATAAGAAAATCGAAAATAGGCCTCCTGCTTCTGGAGAAATGAATAGCCTAAGCTGCTCAATGAGAGAGAGGAGCCATGAGCCCCAGCCATCAGCAAACCCTTCTCATCGTTTTGCTGACATGCATTCTTCACATGTCAACGTTGTATCTGGACGCCAAAAGAAGGCCGACTTGGAAAGCTCTTCCGCAGAGAACTCTTGCACCATTACTTTGCCGCAGAGGGATTGCTTAGCACCCGTGATTTCGTTGGCGCGATTTTCTACTCCAACTGAAGTCTCACCATCAGCCACTGGTGCCAATGGGATTAAAGATGAGCAGGGTCAAGAGTCTGTTTCTGCAGGTGATCGTCATCAACATTCTGGGCGTTCATTATTGGACCATGTTGAATCTTCCCAGATTCTCCAGGGTTATCCTTTATCAGTTTCAACAATGAAAGAGAGGAATGGCAGTATGGATTGCAAAAGACCCATTTTACTTAAAAGAGCCCCCAAGTCAGATGGCAATTTTCATCCAGATAGGCATTCTGAGTTTTATCTTCAGAAATGCAAGAGTTTGAGAAATCATATTTCAGTTTCTGAGGCTTCACTTCCATCCCAAGAACAGATCAAAGATCATTATAGACCTAAATCTGGCAGTTCAACAGATTCTGGAAAACCTTGCGGAAATGGTGATGTGAAATTGTTTGGTAAAATTTTAATCTCCTCCGAGCAGAAACCAATTTCTAGTATACAGGAGAGTGATGATAATAAGACTCACCATCATAAAGCAGGTACCCAGTCATTCAATCTGACACTATTGGGTGATAGGAGTGCTGATTTCAATTCAGATAAAGTCCTGTTTGAACATTACAATTGTTTGGGTTCTGAGCATATTCCTGTCAGGAATTTTGTTCTCTGCGATGGAAGCAGATCGCAAATTGGTTTTCCTAATTTACCCGATTCTAATCTCCTGCTGACTAAGTATCCTGATGCATTTAGTAATTGTGCCACACCCTCAGCCAAATTGGAGCGAGCTGTTATGAGCAATCGCCATAGTTTGAATGGTACCTGTGTTTATTCAACTAGAGAACCAAGTAGCAGCAATGGAGGAGCTGATTATCATGTGTCAAGGAATCAAGAAGTTCAGCCTTTTAGCATGGATATGAAGCGGCGGCAGGATTTATATGCTGAGATGCAAAGAAGAAACGGGTTTGATGTTGTTTCAGGAATGCAACAGCAAGCAAGAGGGACGGTTGGTATCAACGTTGTTGGAGGGGGTGGGGTTCTTGTTGGAGGCCAATCTACCGCTGTTTCCGATCCCATGGCGGTCATCAAAATGCACTATGCTAAGGCCGAACAATTTGGTCTGCAGAACATCATCATAGAGGATGATTCTTGGAGAAGCAAAGGGGATGTAGACAGGTAGTGAAAGTGGAGAGGGCTGAATTCCTTATTTTTGCCTCGTGTATATTAGTTTTTGTACTTCGAATTAAGCAGTGTTAGGCATTGGACAGTTTTGAATCCATCTTTTTGGTTCAGAGGATTACTAGGTCTGTAATATTGCAGCAGCTTTGTATTTGTTGTATTTGATGGAAGTACAGAAATAACCTGTCAAGAGATTGGGAGGAATTTCTGTTTCACTGGATGTGATTATGGTTTTGTTTGAAAGCAGAACTTGTGGACGATCACTGTTAAACTGGAAGAGTCAAAGTTCTGTAAAGGTCCGCCCTTTTAAGAGGTGTATCCCCCTTAGTCATGTCATCATTTTCTCAATGCTTCAATTCTATAATTTTTTGCATTATGAATTTATGGATCATCTGGACGTGTAGAATAGTTTAATTTAATGCATGAACACCATTCAATTCAGTTGAATTGGCTGGCATTATTTATATTCTTGTTCTATTTAGTTTTGGCTTACAGTAAACCTCAAGGTTTAGGTTACAATTTGATTTCAGGTGTGGCACCATTGTCTGGAGCAGTCACTCCCATTCATATGGTAAAGTTCTTTGCTTGAACTTATTTTGGTTCCCAAGTTTTGACAGAAAAGTTCAGCATGTGTTCTTGTAAGCCCTTTTTGTGAAGGTGGTATTTTGCTGAAACTAACTCCCCCTTACCCCTCCCATATATAATAAATTAGGTCTATGTTTGATTTATATAAAAATCAAATTTTTAGTAAATTTTGATAAAAAAAGATGGAATGTGTTGTTGAAAAGTTGTTAGTCCTAACCTCGAGGGATTGCTCAATTGATCGGACATTAAGTTTGCTATCCAATGGTTACCTGTTCGAGTCCTCTCAGAACAACTGAGGTGAGTATCCGACCGTAAGTTTTAGTGTCTCGTGGGATTAGTCAAGATGCGCGCAAATTGGTCCGGACATCCATGGTTTTAAAAAAAAAAAAAGAAAAAAGGTTAATCCAATGTAATGTGTTGTCAAGATTAATTGTTAATTTTGAATTTAAAGTTTTATCAAATTACAAGCTACACCAAAACCAGGGCTAACTCTAAAACTCTCAATCCTGCTGTAACTTAAATAATTTCAAAATAAGGTTTATAAAAATAGTATCAAATCAAAGAGACTATCTTAGTGGGGGCTGATAGCATCGTGTTAAGATGAAATTGTTTGATGATTTTAATTAAGGAGAGGAAGAAGTCAAAATTTTCGGCGCACTGGCAAGTGGTGACTGACAGATGGCAGGTTTGTCATGAAAGATTCAACTTTGGTGGGACCTGATTTGAATTTCCAGCACGAAACAATGACTTTTTTTTGAAGGTTCTAGAGCAAGTAGGACAGCTATCATCTATCTGTTTTTAATAAATTATTATTCCACAATTGCTGAGAAGTCAAAAGATGGAAAGAAAGAAGAGGTGACATCTTTTCCTCTCTCGTTTGTTATTCTAATTCTAAAATAATAAGGGTATAATCGACAGCTGCATGTCTGAAAAGTCGAGTGTTTGATGAAACTTCCCACAAATACCCCTGCATTCTAAAGATATTACACAAAAGACATTTCTTTTCCAATTTTTGCATAAAGAATAAAATGTTGCGTGCAGCCCTCCTTTTAAAGAGATTGATATTCCTTTTCCTTATTCCATTGACCAAGCACTACTTTCCAGTGTTGAAATATCTAATGTTCTCAATTTTATCCACTCTATATATTGAATCATTCGATTAATGAACCATTATGGACCACCTTGTAGATTATATTAGACATGTTGACATCAAAAGACTTTTTGTATTAGGTTGTTCGATCAAAAAATCTAACAAAAATTAGTTATTTGTCGACCAATAAGAAAAAGGGAAAATGAGGTTTACGAATAGTATGTGTGGACTGCACCACATTGAGTTCAAGCAAAATCGTTTATCAGGAAACAATCGAGTCGAGTATTTAATTATGTCTTGCGCCAACAAAACCAAGTTCAACTCGACTGCCAGACGAGGAAATAATGATTTTTGCATCAATCATAAAAAAGGATATAACTATTCATCCGACTTATTTGTGTCTTCAAAGAGACCCTACTACTCTAAAATGTGTCTCTACGTATCTCCTCTTTAAGAAACGTGATTATTTTATATTCGATATGGACATTTGCATTATTAATTAAATATTAATATTCATTTCTGTACTAAATATTAATCATCTAAGTTTTTTAATATTTATTTCGATTTCGAAAAGAACTGATGTTTCAGTATACATTAATGTGGGGTGCCAATGTTTTTTTCTTAATTTATGAAAATGAGAGATTGTACAAATAATTAGACAAATTTATAAAATTATAGAACAAAACAAACATCCTCGTCACGCCTTTGAAAATCAATCCAAAATATTTGTCATATTCGTAATATATTCTTGTTCAAGTTTCAATTGGTCAGCTATAGATATTTTATGCAAATAATCCTAAAGTATGACAATTATTTTTAGCAGTGTTTTGTTACTTTGACTAAACAACTTCCCGTATTACTCCTAGTTAATGTTTCATCTCAGACACCTTTAAGGTTTTCTCATCATCTCTGGTCGACTACTTAATATTCACTTATTCACCATTGATTCTATCTATTTATAAATTAAACTGTTTATATATTCTTCCCAAACTGAGGCTCTAGATTTTTGAGTCAACGACTATGTTTCTTCGATATAAAATTCCACAAATATAATCTATAAGCCTCAAGTCGATTCAATGGGGTTGGCGCATGAGATTGAACGACAAGAAAAACAACAAAATTTCTAATATACAACCCACCAAACCTAAATTAGGGAAAATAAAAAATAAATAAATACAGGAAATTCGACTGCATCACTTAAACATCTTCACTAACCTTGTGTGATTGCTTTTGACTCTTCTTGCGTTAGGAGAATGGGTGGCAGTGATGCAGTTATATCAATTACCTTCAAATAAAGGGGAAAAAAATGAGAAATTTCAGTTTCATCCAACTTCTGAATCATGAAAATGAATTTAACAACTCAACTATTGACTTTACTGTGCAAGGGAACAATACACTGCTAGAAGGCTTGCTTTCGAGAGTTTCCTTAGACTTAGAAACACGAATCATAATGAATGCAAACTAATCTAAATGTGTAGTTTAGGAAGGTGTACAAGCTACAACTACAATATAAAAACTGTTCACTGAAAAAGAAAACTAGCCCGTTATTTCCTTGAGAGGGAAATCATTGGTGCACGATGTGTTCTCAAACTTCTCTTCACGAAGATGGCTATCATCTTTTCCCTCCTTCCATGGTTAACAAAGAAAGCACTGTGCTCATATGGGGAGAAACGTGGCATTAGAATCGTGGAAAAATACCAAATTAGTCCTTCTTGAAACAACTACCAAATACATCTCTAGTAACCAATTAGAGTCAATTATATGTAATTAACTAGAGTTACTATATAATGAATGACATGACTCCATCTTCACGATTGCCCTAAGCTTACCAGTTGTTTTAGAATGTTAGTTAAAACAAACAGTGGGAGAGACATGAATTACATGGCATACTTCTGACACCTACCTCATTCATGATGGGTGAGGGAAAATTAAACGATGCGCATGCAAGTGGTATCCACAGTCTCCAGGAACAGGATTTTCAAGTCTCTGATACCCTCTAACCAAAAGACAGTACAATTAGTTTCCATTAATATATTGCACAGATAACACAAAATTTAAAATAATTTAACTACTAAAAACATAATTGCCTTGTAAACCAAAATGAAAAAGATATCCGAACTTTTTATATCAATAATCCACAGTCAAGATTTTGCTTATCAAGAAATAGGAAAGCAGGATATAATAGGCAATTCAGGGTAGCATCGCAATACCCAACATGAGCAAAACTTTCATCCATGACCTCAGGATCAAAACACTTTGGCTGCCCACCGGCGACATAAAGAGGATCGCCTGCCAAAGGGTAACAACAAATAACGGTTAAACTATCACAGCTGCCATAAACTAAACAACTCTTTGCACTTCAAGATATGTAAAGTTTTGAATAATCTCATTTTACGTGGAAGCCTACATTACTATTCCGTTAACACAGTTGTAATTTTGGTGTTTAGCAGGATTTAAAATCACTTGACTTGAGTATAGACAAGTTATGAAGCTGTCAGTTTCTGAGCTAGATTTTATGGTTTTGGGGCTCAACAATGGTCGATGGTGCTATGATAGTCAATGGTCGATATTGTAGCAATAGGTGGCAGAGGTAGCCGCAGAAGTAAATAATTTTTTTTGAAAGGTAGCCGCAGAAGTAAATAATGAAGCTATTGGAATTGAAAATGAATAAAACATTTATATCTAAAAGATTAGATTATGTGTCGAGCATATTGTCCTGCCAAATTTACCCCTCCAAAAATTAGCTCGAGCATCTCATTTTTTGAAAAAATTAATTCTAATGTTAATGAAATTATATAAAAAGGTCTAAATAAGCAAAAGGAACTTAAGTTTGGGATTGAAAAGTTCAATTTTAGAGGTTGGGGCAAATTTTAGAGGTCATAAAGGTTGGGGACTAATTGCACGAATTTTCCAAATAAAAAAGGAAACATAAGATCTACTATATTAATCTAGAAAGGGAAGATGTGCTACCTGCCAATGTTGACATGTGTCCAAACCGTGTCAGGCACGTGTCAATGTCTTATACATGTTGGACACGGACACGCTTGCTCTAGCAATTAGTCAGTGCTACTTCGCATTGGAAGATTTGCAATTTGATCGTGCCCATCCTTCATTTGGAGAATTTGGATATGTTAGATACAAATTTAAGCTTCTCATAAAAGTTGAATTTAGAGCTTTTCTAGAGAAGCTCAAATTATGAATTTCTCTGAAGCAGCATAAAAAAGTTTTTTTTTTTTCTTTTTGGTGAATGATCACTTATCAACTTAACAAAAATATCCATATTTTTAACAAAAGCACTTTTGCCCTCCAAGAAGTGCTTTTGAGCTTTAGAAAAGCACTCCCAAACACACACTAAGTTGTCATTGTAGATAATACTGCTGTAAAATGAACATGTATTGGAATTCTACAACGAGTTCAAGTATACTAGTCACAAGTCTTCCACGTGTCAAGTTCAGCACGTGTCAAGTTCAGCATATTCTGCATGAACGCAAATCATTTCATGTGAAACGACATGCTGTTAAAATTGTCCTAAAATAAATCACGCCAAGCACTGTTTTCCTTTTCCTAAGTTCTTCTAGCATTAAATAATCCAATGTAAGAAGATTTGGTAGTATTTCCTTAAATTACTTTCCTTTTCTGTATTTCAAATAAGTAAAGCTTGATCTCAAGTCACCATTCTTTGGTGGATAAATCTGACCAGCCTAAAACACACGTTAATCCTTTCAAAACTAGCTGGCTCACTGTATTGTTAGGAGCTCTTCTTCAAGTCACAAGTCACCAGTTTTCCACGCTTCAAGTTCAGCATATTCTGCATGAACGCAGACCATTTCATGTGAAACAACAAGCTGTTAAAATTGTCCTAAAATAAATCACGCCAAGCAGGCAAGCACTGTTTTCCTTTTCCTAAGTTCTTCTAGCATTAAATAATCCAATGTAAGAAGATTTGGTAGCATTTCCTTAAATTACTTTCCTTTTCTCCATTTCAAATAGGTAAAGCTTGATCTCAAGACACCATTCTTTGGTGAGATAAATATGACCAGCCTAAAACACACGTTAATCCTTTCAAAACTAGCTGGCTCACTGTATTCTTAGGAGCTCTTCTTCACATGTAGCTAAAGCAACAGAAGGCAGCATGTTGTCTGTAAAAGACTATATATTCTTAGACAGATTGTCATTGTAGAAATAGATCATTCCACATGTTTCTAATTTGTAATCATCGACGGAACTTCGTTGTGTTCGACAATGGCTATATGCATCAAGCGTACGTATCCTTTGAACGCAACATCACAATGCTACCAGTAAAAAGAACAGAAGGGTAGAAAACAATGAATCTTGCGTGTAAGTCCATTCTCATATATAATGATGGAGAACAAAATTACACATCATGACAAATAATACGACAGAGGAAAAATTTCTCTTGAAATGTTTCCTTTGAAGATAGTATTTTTCCATACTTTTAACACTTGTTCTGGCGTCAAAAGTACTGTGATTGCATATTTAGAAGGGGAGAAAATAGATGTTTTATACTATATATATTCCTGGGACATGGGAAATCAAAATCTAGACAATGATTGAACTTGTAATTATGCTTTCCTTTCTAGAAATGACCTCTGTTGGTAGAATGGAAGAGTTTCTTGAAAAGAAGTTCAAATTTTTTGAAATCCTGATTAAATTATTTAAATTTGATGTGCAAAGAATACATAGCTCTAAGAATAACGCTCGTCTTTGTTGTAAAACAGTAGTGAAGTTCCAGCTTCCCAAACAGAATGAAAATAAAGATATATAGATAAACTGAAGTCTCCCTTTGCAATAGTATACATTCTGACAATAAAACATCAGGTTGCAGTTTTGCTATTTGAAAACAGACAGAAAGTCACCATAGCTAAATAACATACAATGATAAAAATGAAACCCTCTCCTGAGTGCACGGAGAAAATTAATTATGTTATTTCTAGGCATAAGTGATGTTATATCAGAAAAAAATGTGAACCTTTCAGACTTTACCTATCATTGGGTGTCCAATGAAAGAAAGATGAATGCGGATTTGGTGTGGTCTTCCAGAGTAAATCTCAACCTGTTCAATATGGGAAATCGAAAGCGAAAGAGAATTACTATGGCGTTTATGATAAGATAGATTCCTCAAACAAAACCATAACCACTTCTAAATGCTGATAATTGTCCATTGACAAATCTCACCACTTCATACAAGTTGATATAAAAAATTTAGTTTGAAGAATTTTATGAAGTGGGAAGGAGTTCAACTCGCAAACCCCTATGGATGTTATCACACAAAGACTATCAGAAACTCTCAAATCATAATGATCAAGTAATCAACTATCAGATCTACATAAACTCAACAAGAAAAATTTGATGGATCGTTCGATAAATAGAATTAAGACTAACAAGCTTTATTCCTAGTACAACTGAGGCAGATAACTAAATTTTGCAGGCATGTATATCTATCAACCAAATACCTGGACCAAGGTGAAATTGCTGCTCAAGAACAGCAACCCTGCTGAAAGAAGGTTTCCCTGAAAATTTGGAGACTTGGGGGAGGGAAAGTTAATTAACAATAGGTTGATAGAAAAGAAGAAACTATTAATGATAAATGAAACAGAACACCTGATACCAGTATCATGCCACATAAAATGACACAAAATCTATTAAACCTGAAGAAGCAACAACATACAACCCCTTGGCGACACCAGGCAACCTGACCTGCCCAATGGGCTGCTCGATCACAACCTATCAAGCAATAAAATACTATTTGAATATGCAACAGAAAAGTAGAAACTGCAATGACAGCTAGACAAGTAGCAGAGGATTGCAGATGATATCTGAGGTTCAATGGATGAACGGAAAAAAGGGAGAGAGTGAAAGAAAAATGGATTCAGGGGAAAAATGAACAAAGATGCATTAGTATTACCCCATCCTCATTAATTACCTCACTTGCTAGGGCTCAATATGTCTTTGTAATTTTCCTCATTGTCTTAAGTTCTGAATTGGCATGCCTGCATAAATATGACAATAAATTGTCTCAATGACACCTTATCATAGAAAGCCATAACAGAAGGAAGTCGAGCATCTTGATATGATATCCTCGGAAAACACACTTCTAATGTGAAGAAGAGCTCCTAAGAATACAGTGAGCCAGCTAGTTTTGAAAGGATTAACGTGTGTTTTAGGCTGGTCAGATTTATCTCACCAAAGAATGGTGACTTGAGATCAAGCTTTACCTATTTGAAATGGAGAAAAGGAAAGTAATTTAAGGAAATACTACCAAATCTTCTTACATTGGATTATTTAATGCTAGAAGAACTTAGGAAAAGGAAAACAGTGCTTGGCATGATTTATTTTAGGACAATTTTAACAGCATGTCGTTTCACATGAAATGGTTTGCGTTCATGCAGAATATGCTGAACTTGACACGTGGAAGACTTGTAACTAGTATACTTGAACTCGTTGTGGAATTCCAGTACATGTCCATTTTACAGCAGTATTATCTACAATGATCACCAGTTCGAATTCCTTCAGAGCCACTGAGGTGAGTACCCGACCGTAAACTTCAGGGCCCCGTAGAATTAGTTGAGGTGCGCGCAAGCAGGCCCGAACATCCACGGCTATCAAAAAAAAAATCTACAAAGACAACTTAGTGTGTGTTTGGGAGTCTTTTCTAAAGCTCAAAAGCACTTCTTGGAGGGCAAAAGTGCTTTTGTTAAAAATATGGATATTTTTGTTGAGTTGATAAGTGATCATTCACCAAAAACAAAAACAAAAAAAAAAAAAACAACTTTTTTATGCTGCTTCAGAGAAATTCATAATTTGAGCTTCTCTAGAAAAGCTCTAAATTCAACTTTTATGAGAAGCTTAAATTTGTATCTAATATATCCAAATTCTCCGAATGAAGGATGGGCATGATCAAATTGCAAATCTTCCAATGCTAAGTAGCACTGACTAATTGCTAAAGCAGGCGTGTCCGTGTCCAACATGTATAAGACATCGACACGTGCCTGACACGTTCTGGACACATGTCAACATTGGCAGGTAGCACATCTTCCCTTTCTAGAACAATATAGTAGATCTTGTCACTGTGACGACATGGTGGAAGATAGCAGGGTTTGGGTTAGGTCTAGGAAAGAGAAGAACGCAAGAGGATAAGTGAAAGAGGAGAAAAGACCGTGGATGAGGACGTGATGGGTGCAATTGGAAAGAAACCATAAGCATTCAGTTCTCAGTGAAAATAAAATGGGTCCCACCAATTTAAAGATAAATAAAATAGACTAATATAAATAAATAAAACCGTCTTCATATCTAAAAAGCATTTTGAGCTTTAAAAAAGCCCTCCCCAACCCACGCTAAATTCTCGATGTACTATATATGCCTCTATATAATAGAAATGGGGCCAACCTATATAAATTGAATAGATTTTGCATTTCCAAAACCTAAAACTGAATTAAAAAACCATCTAGATGTTCTATTTGCTTACGTTATTAACAATAGAAATGGGGCCAACCTATATAAATTGAATAGATTTTGCATTTCCAAAACCTAAAACTGTATTAAAAAACCATCTAGATGTTCTATTAGCTTACGTTATTAACAAAAATTCCTAAAAATTATAAATTCATTAAAAAATTTAATAAATAAAATAGGCAGAAGTAATTCATATACATTAATCAACAAGTCCTCCATGTGTTATGTCCTAATTTTTTAAAATCACGTGTCGGCGGGTCCATATCATGTTTTGTCCGTGTGGCGTGTCAGTGCAACATAGTTCTAATATTTCAAACGATTTAAATTATTCAAATAGTTTTAATATTTCGAATGATCCAAAAGCAATTTAAATATTCTTTTGGAACAATTTATAACATGTTCTTTTCTAATTTTTTTTTCACTATTACTTTACATATGAACCACACATATCACATGTTTGTGCGCATAAAATAGATATCACACCTTATGTGTATAATTTAAACAAATAATTTTTAAATAACAGGAAACATATTAAAATAATTGTTCCAAGATAACTTAATTAGAACATTAATTTTTTCATTTTAGAGCATATTAAAACAAATATTACTCACGAAAGAAAAAATCACGAGATCTATAGTAAATAATTAATAGTCAAATAAGGGTCAATTTGATAGGTAAAGGTGGAAAAAAAATTCTAATTCCATATTAGTTGGAAAATAAAAACTCACCAAACCCATAGGAATTCGTTTTTCATGAAAACAAAAAAAATGCAGTTTAAAGTGGTTGTACCTTAGAATTCGGTTTCCATTTCCACGTTGCAATCAAACGGCCAAAGTGGAATTCGTTTTCCTTGGATTTGACATTTTTCATGAAATTGTGTGCAATCAAGAAGGGCCTAAATGTGTAGTTTATGCAAAAGTATTTAAGCACTTTTATAGTTATGTGCAACACTTGCCAAACACTCAACAGCGTTTTACTAACAACTCTTTTTGAAAAATGCTAGCTAAATCTCTACTTACAGCAATCATGCCAAACAGAACCCATTAATCATTTTGGCTAGTGTCTGAAGCTCCTAAATGTTTCCACAGTTAGTAATTGACCCAGGTTACTGCATAGACACCAATGTTTAGGCTTATATTCTTTATTTTTTCTTGGACTTCACAAATGATATATCTTAGAAACCTCATTTGTAACCATACATGTATTTTCAGTTTGTTTGCCCTATATTGCGTTCTTGTGCAGCCTAAAATTTATACATAGAAAGCGAAAGAAACATGAAGTACGAAGTAGAGGTAACTAGTGATGATCAAATTCCTATTTAGTGTACTTAATTTAATTTTAGTTTTTATCTTCATTTTACAGGTAAGTTGCTCGAGTGATTGACAATGTTGCATAGGCTCCAGGTACCAGTCTATCAAACAAGCTCAATTGGGCATTTTGATGGGTATAATCGTACTAATTGTTCAACAGTTTTCTAATAACAAAGGCATTTATATCGACGTGGTGCAGAAGCGGAATTAAAATTCTTGCAACAAGAAGAAAGTTGAAACACTTGAAAGTTCGTAGAGAATGATTTGAGTGTAATGAAATTGATTGAAACAGTTTAAGAAGTCTTTATTTATATAGGGAAAATAATATCCAAATTCTAATAGCATAAGGAGTACAAATAATTAAAACCTAAAAGATTAAGTAATCAAAAACCAAAAGAATAAAAGTCCTGACATAAACAAAAAATAAGATCCTACTACAAGAATATATAATTTTTATCTTATTTGTAATAGGATTATCCTACATTACAACTTTAAGGAGACTTGGGCAATACGTATGAACAGACAACGACCTTCCAACATCTAACTAATGTTAACTTATACGACTTAAGTATGTCAGTCGAGAGGCAATATTGATGCTGAAAAGTTAAATTCTTGAAATGCTCAAAATCTTTATGCCTCTTAACAATATTTTTTTATTTATTTGCTTCGCGAGCTATTATTTCCAGTCTTAAGTCTCCTATAACACTCCTTCCTTTTTTTTCTATGATAAGCCAGTAGTTGATGGCATGTTGCATTCCAACCATTTGCAGCAGGGTAATCAGTAATTAGCTACGTTCGTATCTTAGTTATTTGGAACCATGATAAATGATCCCTCAACTTTCAGAAAGTCCAATGAAAATTCTCTTAGTATCTGAACAAAGATGTTTAAACAAGCTTATAAAAACCAATGTCCAACCAAATGCCAAGGCGTAGCAAGTTCAAGAAATAGAAAAACAAAAATGAACTGCCATTTGATTTAATCATCAGACAATCAGTTTGAAAAGTACTCATTGGAAATTGATAAAAGAAAAATATGGAAGGATAAGGAAAGAGGTTGAAAATTTATTAAGGAGGACAGAAAGATTTTTTCCACTTACCTGCTGACACCAACTGACGTTCCATCGGCAAAGTATGCTGCAAGATAGGATTTTGCAAGCTTTGTCTTTGCACAAAGTAATATTCCTAGCACCAAACAGAAAGGCATTTAAATTTAATTTATATAGACCAGGATCTTGATAGAACGATGAACTCCGTAAAGATCAAAATGGCATTTAGCAGGAAGAGAACAAAATGTGAAGTGAATAATGAGCACAATTATGACAGGTATGTTAAGGTTCAATTGCATATATATCCTTTCAATTTAGATAGATAAAATAATGACTTCTGATGGAAAAATACATTTTGATGCATAATTTGTAGATAGAAAAATAAGAACTCAACTTAGTTTTTCAGCTATCAGTTTTCAATTTATTGACAGAATCTATCACAGGTGATCTTCCTATGAAAAATCTAATATTTTTTTACAACAGAGCTAATAAAAAATACATTTTTGTTTTCATGAAACAGCTAAAGAAAATATAATTTTTTTTGGAAACAAATCTAAAGATAGACAAAATCCACAACATAAACTGAATTCAGCCCTTGATCAACTATCCTTTTTTGATAATGAAGTAAAGATAGAAGGAACCTTAACAATGCAAATAATGAAGTTTATAGATTCCGTCAGCCAAAAGAATCCATGTATCTATAAAGACTAACCTGATGTGCCCCTTCCAAGACAATGAACTGGAACAGGATGCGGTTCTTGACAAGCTGATGAGGAGGTCAGCTTGCGTGAACACCATTCAAGTTGTGTCCAGTCCTCTGCTGGAACAATCCTCCAGGTAGAACTTGTAAACCCAAAGGTTAATTTAGAGCAATCTGCATACATTGGCAAAACTTAATATGATGTTACATGTAATTGTGATTTATAAATGAAATGGATATACAGTATATCGAATTGCTGCTCTTCAATATTTCTGTCTAGTTATTCCATTCTCAATATATGAGGAAACCACTTATTTTACAATTCCTTGTGAAATGGAAATTTTCTGAGTTTTAAATAGTAATAGTTATAGATAATGCAGTTTCTACTTCAATATTTCTTTTACATTTATCCTGATGTCCATTCTTCTCAGAGGAAGGGGAGTGAGAAAGCAAATTCATGTAAATGATCTTCTATAAAGAAAAAGTTCATTCCTTATCTTACTTTTTTCTTTCTTCTTTTGTTTTTTTCTCCAAGGTTGTTTTCCTATATACACAATGAATAAACTAACTTTGAAGCTCGAAATGATTCAGAAACAAGCCACATTACCCTCTATATGAATAACTTTTGATTGAACATGTCAATGACTTTTGTGACATATTGAATCATAAAATTTAGACACGCAAATGTATTTATTTACCATATCATCATCTTCATATAAAATTTAAAGCGAGTTGCTTATGGCTCTTGCCAGGGAAGCCGACAATATATTATGAAAATAACGACATTTGACCCTAATAACACCTATCCAAAACCTTGACGCTTATGACATCCTCTTTCTAGACTCACCGGGGGCACCTCTATTTCTCTCTTGAAACTTCTTATTCCTAAATATTGTTTAAAGTTCTTAACAAAATAAGTTATTTCCTCATCGTTAGGGTTTTCCGTGTCAGTAGAGTCATACTCTTCGTCCCTAACAATGTTCAAAGCTATTGATTTATCATTCTTAAGTTGAGATATAGTGAGTCATAAGTTTGGAGAGATTCAACTAATTCTTCTATCTTAACCGTATTTAAATCCTTGCTCTCCCGATAGCCGTTGTTTTAAGTCTAAACATCTCGAGTAAGGATCTAAATACTTTTCTCACAATTTTTGTTTCCGGAATTTTCTCACCTAGGTTAAAGCTGGAGTTTACTATATCATTTAACTTCACATAAAATTCATCGAATGATTAATCATCATTTATTCTAATCTCTTCAAACCTGGTGCTTAACATCTATAGTTTTGAGTTTTTAACTATCTTAAAACCCGCATGTGTGGTTTCTAGAATATCATATACCTTTTTGGCAATCTCACATATCGATACTCTCCTAAAATTTTCGGCGGGCACAGCCATAATTATGGCATGAAGCCATTTACCATTCCAGTTATATTCAGTGAATTCATCTTCAGCCTAAAGGGAAATGTCCCTAAGGGTAACTACACATGAAACAATAGTAGAAGAGGTAGTCCAACCCTTCTCAATACACACCCAAATTCGCTCATCCATAGATTTCAGGATGGGTCTTATTCTAACTTGCCAATATGAATAATTGCTTCCGTCAAAATACGGAGGCACGGAAAGAGACTGACTCATCTAGATTAACTTAGGGTCGGGAATCGAATTGAGACTCTGATACCAATTGAAAATATCGACGTTTAACCTAAAAAACACCTAGAGGGGTTGAATAGGTGTATAATACAGAATTTAAATTTACCAATTATTATTAGCAACAAGTTAATATTAATAATCAATTAGATGAATTCACATGCAATTACTATCCTACGTTGAAATACCACAGTTTGTATAATTACAAGAAATTAAATAACACCACATAATTCATGATGGAGAAAACCCCTCATGGGATAAAAAACTCTGTGATCAAGCTAGTAAAATCAACTATAGACAATGACTTATAGTACGATCCAGACTAAACAACCTCCTAGACTCACAACCTACTTCCTGTAATCTCCAAGACCCTCCTGGACTGCGTGTTCCTTACACTAGCTCCCGAATTTTTATAATTGTCTATCTCCTGTAAATCACCAAAAACTCATCGTTCTTTTCCTTTTCCTGGATTCCTAGTCGCCTCTTGAATTCTCAGCACTCTCTAATAGATATTTAGGAAGTGGGTTTTTTTATAATTTTAATTGATGTTTTCTGCAACTTGTGGTTGATTGATCTCAAAGGTTATATTCGTTATAGGATCTCCAAAATATGTTTTCTAGGTAAAATAATATAATCAACCACGGTTTTTATGAAGTGGGGTTTGTATATTTATAGTATAGAGGAATTGTGGTAGTATAGGATAGATATAACTTTTTAAAATCGCGAACTAGCGTTTTTTGGATACCATCGTCGCTCGAGCGACAGGCGGGCAACATTGATCCTAGTTTGGACACTCAAGCATTAGCTTGGCGATGGCTAGCGTAATTTCGACGACTTTTTCTTCTTGTTCCATACTCGACCCAAAGACTCCTAGTTCATCCATACAACATCTCAATAGACTCCTTGACTTTTATAACTTTTTATTAACATTAATTTTGTATGAAGTCATGCCATGCCAATACAGTGAAACCTAACATATTAGATCCATACCTTCCCTAAATAAAAGGAAAATTGTAACTGCTAAGTTATTGATTGATTTCAAGTTCATGAAACTCTAGGTATTGAAGTAATTGTTACACAGAGAACGATTTCAAAATTAAACCTGAGAATTTTATCGGGATCTGTAACAGCGTCGCCATCAATAGTTATCAGCTTATTGTAAATTCTCTGCAACCAAATGTTCAATAATCAGTATCCGACATGATACAAACAGGCACATGTTTTGGTGGAGGTATGTACTTAGCATGTTTGGCTAAGCTTAAAAAATTTACTTATAAGTAAAAGTTAACATGTAACTATATAAGAAAGTTTCATAATAATTAAATTTTTATATTTATCACTATTGTAAAAATGTTATTTACATTGGCAGTGAGAAAAAAGTAAGAGCATTTTTGGGAGTGCTTAAAAGCAAAAAGGTGCTTTGTATTAAATGCATCAATTATACTGTCAACAAATAATTTTTTTTTTTTTATATAACCGTGAATGTCCGGACGAGCTTACGCGCACTTCGACTAATCCTACGGGACTTGAAGTTTACAGCCGGATAGTCACCTCGGTAGTTAGAACAAGAAAGTTGCTTTTAAGTAAATTCTACTACTTGGCCAACGAGACAACAAACACAGAGGGAAGAAATTTCTGAAACGGGATCATATTAATTGCTGATAAAATGAAAGTGAAGTTACGTGCACCTACTTAATCACATCAAATTTCTCAGGCCATCAAACTTTCAGAAACAGAAAAATTTCTCGATAGTCTTAATTATTATTACCCCAGAAAAGGAGCGGAATTTTTGTACTTCTTGGAGTAGAATTTGATCAGCGTCAAGCCTGGAGAGTCCAAAACAAAAATTGTTCTAATAAACAAATAAATATATATTATCTATGAATGCACACAATTTGTTAAATTTGTACATGAATCAGGTGGTCTGAGAAGGTCCCGGAAGTGGAGGCCGTCATTAAATTCCGGCCAGGGATCGCCAGATGACTGCATTATTGGCTTCGGTTGAGCAGGAGAAGACCGGAGAGGAACTGGACCCCAAAAGAATGGTACAGGCAGCGTTGTGGGCTGGGCTGGAACCACACTTCATAATAGGCTCGGTCCAATTCAAAAAAAATTCTGGATCATGTCGACCCGATCCATGTGAACAGTTTCCTTTTCCAAATAAACGTTTTTCAGACCTTTTTGCTATAAAAATTGAAGGTTAACTTCAAAAATTATAAAGAAGAGAAGAGGAGAGACTTTAGAAAGCCATTTGGAGTAGCTGCTAGGAGAAAATGATCCGTTTGCACACTAATTGCTTGTTTGTAAGTGATTATTACCGATTTTTTTGAGAATGTGTAATTAAAATTAAAAAGCAAATTATAAATTCAAGTACAAAATTATTGTATTGAAAGAACGTGCAATTAAGAATGAGCTTAAAAAAAGTCACCTTCAAATCTATACTAGACAAATACTAAATTGGAGATTGTTATTTAAGTCTACCCTTCAATCCTTTCCTCGTTTAAGGACGGGAGGGCGGCGTGTTCAAAATTGCACCATGTATTGTATTTTCGAGTTAAAAGGACTTATTTGATTTAATTATTTAACAAGTCATCATGTAGGTAAAACATCTATACTTACAAACATTATATATAAGCAAGAATTCGTGCATAAAAAGGAATAGCCCCTATACCTCAATAAGACATCCAAATTCTCATTTCATAATTGTTGTGTAAATCATATCCAAGTATAAATTACAACGTGCAAGAAATATTTCATCCCTCTCTTATTCTCAAATCACCGAAATCCAAAAGAAGAAAAGTAAATCGGTATTACATGAAGTTTCCAACCAGGTTACACGGCAGAAAACGAGATCAAACAAACCAACCATCATCCGAAGACGTCTGCTGACGATGAAGGACTGGTAACCTGCAGAGGATTAGTTTTCCAATCAACAATCTCGCTACAATGCCCGCCTCTAACTGCACCCACGGCCAATGGACTCGTCCCACAGCTTGAAGTTTCGGCATAAACCAGTTTTTTGCCAGCAACAGTCTTCAGCCGATACCTCTCGGCCCTAGAACCGATAACCTGTCCTAGAATTGATGCTGCAATGGTAAATGCCATGGCCGTCTTAGGCATTAACACGGATTTCCTAAGCATGCCTATGAATGGCACAGCTGCATGGACGGCAGCAAACCACGAGGGAGAGAATTTTTCTGTGTGTTCTCGCCATATTCCTAAAGGTATATTCGCTGCCATGCCTAAAACGCCAATGACGAATACCTTCGCAGGCAGAGGCTGCGGTCGAAGGTTTTTGGCAAAGGCAGTTTTTGATATAGCACTCCTAGCTGCAACTATTGCTGGAGGGCACCTAAATTTCATGCCAGGAGGGGGCTGAAGAGCCTTAGCTACAAGAGGAAGGACGTGACTCACAGCTCGATATGACTTCGCAATAGGGCAATTCCCATTTTGCAACCACTCATCACTCATTGCCTCGTGTTCTGATTTTCTACCCTGAAAGAACGGATTAATGATCAAGGAAAAAAAAAAAGAACATATATTTCGATATTTTGTTTAATCATCAGCATCAGTAGTTTGTACTCCATAGTATGCTACAATTTCGAGCTTTTCTACAAAACCTTGCAGATTTAACTAGCGAACTCCAGAAACTTGGGAATTAGATATGTTAGTGATAAAGGAGGGTCGAACTTTTTAGTCATGAATGAAGTTTCGGACCAGTTACTTGAAACATAAGTTGTCAATTACCTCTGAAGAAGACTCCTTTTTGGACGATTTGGATTTCTTATTTTTATTCTTCCACTTCTCAGAAAATGCATCAAAACCAAAAGGCCCACCGGGACCAAATGATGAGAGACTAATAGAGGCTGCCTTTGCTGCCAAGGGATTGAAGTGGGTTGGTGCTGGTTCAGAGCGAGACTTCTCGGTAGAGATAAATGATTTTCCAGCAAGAGGGACTACACCATTTTGCCCATGAAAAAGTCTGAACGCCATATCAAAATTGGGACCATCCTCAAATATTGGACCTTTCCTGTCTTGAACCTGACAGGAGCAAGACAAAATTCCACAAGGGAGCTTATCAGTGTAACATGGTTTGAAAATCGGCAAGCCTAGTACAGAACAGGATTGGACTTTTTTCATTGTTAACCATGGCCAGCATTAAAGAATTCACTCTACCAAACAAGCCACATATAGGATATGCAAACAAATATACAACTTACGGGCATTGGGAAAGCCATTGGTGTTGAAAAGGAGAAGTTTGTGGGTTCATTGATGTTCCGTAAAAAGGGACACCTAATAATGCCCTGATCTAACGGTGAAGATTCCACTTTCAAGTCCCTCGAGAAAAACTCCATTCTAGTATAAACCTGCACAAGAATGGCACATTTTAAACAACAGTTTGTGATACAGGACTTCAATTGAAAGAAAGAAAACTAGGGAATAAATCCTGTCAAAACTAGCACTATGAAAGACATAAATGGAAATAAACGTATTAAAACCAAATACCATTATAGCCCAAAATTTAACAATTTCCTCGGATAAACAACATTAAAGGGAAACTAAAAGAAGACAAAATAATGAGAAAAATACAGACATTTAGGCTATCTGCCTCAAAATGGAGATAAAATCCTTCGTATACTACAAGCCAGATGCTTTAAAATTCTCGCATAGAGAATAACGTTTATCATATATTTTTCAGAATGCTAATTAGACCGGAAATTTGAAAAAGATAAGCACCAAAGCTGAAGAACGAAAAGAATAATTTGGATCCTAGGTTTTTGCATGTTTAAAGTAACTAAGAGAACTAATATCTCCAAAATTCAACAGAAACAAAGATATTTATATAACCACAGGATGAAAATTGGAATGAACTTCTTGAAAATTCGAAAAGTAAAGCCATATAGATTGATAAAAAACAAGCAAATAATATTACGCTGCTGGATCATTTTTAATTACTACCAAGAAGTGTAGCAACGGGAAATCTATATACATAGATGGAGATTCAAATGGTCCAAGAAGCCACCTTACTAAGAAACTCTCTGCTTGAACATATAGCTAAAATTCCCATTAACAGAAATTAGCAACTAAAATAACAAAACCCCTTTGACTTGGAGAAATCCAAAAATTTTCACCAAACTTACATGCTTAACCTAATCATGCATCGATTTCTCGATAATTTCTTTAATCCCACATTGGCTAAATTAATTTCCTGCTTCAGGTGCCAAATCATAGCCCAAAAACCCAATCTATATTTCCTTTTCCTCTCTAGTTTCCATTGACTTACGGCTGACAACTCAATATAAAAAGACACATATAAACAGAAATTGCATACATCTTAATATGAATAATGTATGAATAATGTATGAATAAACCCATATCAAGAGTCCCAACTTAAAAGAAATCAAAAGTCTCTTCACAACATCATCAGAACGATTAAAACAACAAACAAAACTCATAAACCCAAAATTAATAAAATGACAAAAACTCAAACATCTGATTAAATAAAATCATATATACATCCACATAAATACAGGGATCAAGATAAGATAAGTCCATACCTTGGGAATTATGTAGGGTTAAACCGAAAAGGGAGATGCGATCCAAAACCTTGAGCAATTTGAGATCTTGAGACTTGAGAGAGGAGAAAAGGAGAATGAAATTAAAAATGGAGTAGGTGAGACGATAGTCGATAGGTAATTAGTTGGGAAGGAAAGGCATGAAAGAGGGTATTTTTCTAGAGAGAAGGGAACTTAGACAAAATTGATGTGCTGACCACAAGCCAGGTACAGGACAAGTCACGCACGATGCACACGCCAATTATGACTTCGGACATGGTTTGATTGGCTGAATACTTAAAATCTGCGCTTGATTTGAATTATTGATTAATATGTTCTATTTTCTATAAAGCTTGCATTTAGCAAATATTTCCTTTTTTTTTCAGCTTTTGTGCACGTTGAGAAGAGGGAATGCTTTCAACAAAATAAAGGGGGAAAACAAGAATAGCCGACAATTAAATCACAATATACGGGTTCTAATGACACTAAATTCGTGATTAAAGGTTATTCTCTTTGTACAGGGTGTATAGGTACTACTGCTTTGACAACACCTGCGTGATTGGAATTTTTTTTTTTTTTTTGCTTGCCAATGCCCAATGAAATAATCTCAAGTGTCCTCCGGTAAACCAATTTAGCAAATTTGCTTGTACACATAGCACGGTTCCATGATTAATTAGGTGATAATGGTTAGGTGATGTTGTGTAAAAGAAAGTAAGCAGTAACCTTTTATTTTTTATTGAGGAAGCAATAATCAAATGTATAGATTAGAGATTACTAATTTAATTAACTTTTAAATTTTAATATCTTTTATTGTCACGCAGGATTTTAATCAAGTGGATATTTTGTTCACGTAGTGAAATTGAGATTGATGATAAATGAATAATGTTACGTAAAAGTGAGCGAACGTTCTGATGACCTCGAAAAATGGTTCCGACACTTGGCCAATAGAACAAATCTTCACGTATGTTCCTCCTGCGCACGGTAGCACACCGTCAGTTACTTGTGGCCTTTCCCGCGGGGGTGGAGGTGGTCGCGAACACTCTGATGATCAAGTCAGTATTTCAGTCAACCGAAAAGTGGTGCTCGACAATGAAGTGGTTGCTGGGACATGGTTGAAAGCATGTGTAAATATAGTGGAATGCCCCTTAGAGTTAAAATACTATAATGCAAATATTTGAACAGGGACCCATACCTTACCATTGTGTAGGGGTATTTATATTAGAGAATGGAAGTGGAGAACCGTTGGATGAGGGGACACGTGGCTTCGGATCCCAGATAGGTCATCATTTCATAGGCATCAATCTGTTAATCCATAGGTTGGCGGGCATTAAATGATTTATGACATAGCAACTGAGTTGACAGTTTGTAGCCTACCACACGTCCCATCAATCATGCAGGAACTTGACTTTGGATAGATCTCTTCATAAAAGATCTTGGTAGAGGTGTGGCAATGCGGATTGTGAGGCGTAACGAATGTGGAGTGCGGGCCTTTACATCCGCCGTGAATGATAGATGAGTTCAGTTCTTCTACGGGGTATAGCACTAGTGTTTCAGCTCGAAGTTATGGAATTTGTTCGTCCAACATGGATTCAGTTCATCTGTCACATGGCAACACCAGATCATTTCGGCCAACACGTGGTGGATGGACAAGGTGGAGGGCCTCAGAAGGCCCGTAACAGCAGTCCATCAAGTCTGTGTATGGCTATTTATATAATGCATGGATTTTTAGATGCGGTTATATCGTGTATGTGTTAGTTGTAGAAGAGACGAAAAGGTATGCAGGAGCGAAATCCTGACGGAAGGACGAAATGTTGAGTGTGACTTTGGGAAAAGTTGTTACAAAACGAAGTTCTAGCTGAGGGAAGAAGTGATAGGCGTTGGTAATTTTGAGAAAAGTTGTTGTAAAGCGAAGTCCTGGTTGAAGGATGAAGTGATAGGTGTTGGCAACTTTGAGGAAAGTTGTGGTAGAGGCGAAGTCCTAACTGAAGGACGAAACCCTGAGTGATTGCAACTTTAAGGAAAGTTGTGTTAGAGGCGAAGTCCCGACTGAAGGATGAAGCCCTGAGCAATTGCAACTTTAATGAAAGTTGTTGGAGAGACGAAGTTCTGACTGAAGGACGAAGCCCTAAGCAATTACAACTTTAAGGAAAGTTGTGGTAGAGGAGAAGTCCTGACTGAAGGATGAAGCCCTGCGTGATTGCAACTTTAAGGAAAGTTGTTGGAGAGACGAAGTCCTGACTGAAGGATGAAGCCCTAAGTGATTGCAACTTTAAGGAAAGTTGTGGTATAGGCGAAGTCCGACTGAAGGACGAAGCCTTGAGTGATTGCAACTTTAAGGAAAGTTGTGGTAGAGGCGAAGTCCTGGCTGAAGGACGAAGCCTTGAGTGATTGCAACTTCATTGAATCACTTCTCCTAGTAAATAGAATGTGTGTAAAAACTTGCACCAAAATGAATAAATCAAGTGGGGGTGTAAACACTTCGTTGAACCATTTCGCCCGGGGAGGTGCATGAGCATCTCCTAACGAAGTAGATATCCTTGGTTGAGGTGACCCCATAGGAGTGTCACGCACCTCGACAAGGGCGTTCTCTATGGTTGATGGTATATCCATGGGAGGGGATAATGAAGCCTTGCATAGCTGAAGTGAATAGGCAATGATGAGGCCTTGCACAACTGAGGTGCCTAGGCAAGGATGAGGCATTTGCATGGTCAAAGTGAATAGGCAATGATAAGGCATTGCACAGCTGAGGTGCCTAGACAAGTATGAGGCCTTTGCATGGTGAACTGAATAGGCAATGATGAGGCCTTGCACAGCTGAGGTGCCTAGGCAAGGATAAGACCTTTGCATGACCTAATTGAATAGGCAATGATGTGGCTTTTGCACGATCGAAGTGCCTAGGCAGGGATGAGGCCTTTGCATGGTCGAAGTGAATAAGCAATGATGAGGCCTTGCACAGCTAAGGTGCCTAGGCAAGGATGAGGCCTTTGCATGGCCTAACTGAATAAGTGATTATGAGGCCTTTGCATGGCCGAAGTGCCTGGACAGCCTACTCCGGAAACGTATCGGATTGTGAATAGACAATGGTGAGGCCTTTGCATGGCCAAAGTGCAAATGAATAGGCAATGATGAGGCCTTTACATGGCCGAAGTGCCTAGGCAGGGATGAGGCCTTTGCATTTCCGGAGTGAGGCATTTACGTTCCTCAAAATGACCCATTTTTCAGGGATCCTCCCTTCATGACATCTTCTTCAGAGGCCTCCTACTTGTAAAAGAGTCTTACAATAGTCTCTTCATCAATGACCACCCTTTTAGGGGGTTTCCTTATTCATGATCTCTTCTTTAGTGGCCACCCACTTTCCAAGATGATGCTTCTCATGTTGTTAGTCATTTAAGTTACTTCGACAGTTAGTCGGCAAGCAATTCTTTTGCCCTTTCGATACGATGATGGGGCCTTTGGTGTGTGACATTATTCCGGATGATCCCTTCTTCAGAGATCTCTCTTACCCTCATTGAGTTCACTTCTTCATTGCTAGAACTCATTAGTTTGGAGTTCCAAATTCTCTTATTCCAAATAATGGAAACTTAGTTTATGACTTCCACTTGTTCTTTCTTCAAGAACAAATCTTTTTTTCAAGGGGGAATATCGATCGAATATTCCAATAAGCTTTTTCTTTCATGGGGATACTCGTGGTTACAGTAACATTTCCATAGACGGCGACAATCTGTTGATCTCGAAAAATGGTTCCGACACTTGGCTAACAGAACAAATCTTCACATATGCTCATCCTGCGCACTGTAACACACCGTCAGTCACTCGTGGCCTTTCTCGGAAGGGGTGGATGCAGCCACGAGCACTTCGACGATCAAGTCAGTATTTCAGTCATTGGAATGCTCCTTAAAATTAAAAGACTAGAATGTAAAGATTTGAATGGGGACCCCTACCTTACCATTGTGTGGGGGTATTTATATTAGAGAATGAAAGAAGAGAACCGTTGGATGGGGGGACACATGGCTTCAAATCCCAGATGAGTTATCCTTTCATAAGCGTCAATATGTCAATCCATAGGTTAGCGAGTATTAAATGATTTCTGACATAACAACTGAGTTGATCGTTTGTAACCTGCCACACATCCCATCAATCAATCAGGACTTGACTTTGGATAGATCTCCTCATAAAAGATCATGGTAGAAGTGGGCTAGGCGGATTGTGATGCGTAACAAATCCGGAGTGCGGGCCTTTGCATTCGCCGTAAATGGCGAATGAGTTCGGTTTTTCTACAGGGTGGGGCAATATTGTTTCAGTTCGGAGTTATAGAATCAGTTCGTCCGACATGGATTCAGTTCGTCTGCTACGTCGCAACACCAGATCAGTTCGGCCAACACGTGGCAGATGAGGTGGATGGACGAGGTGGAGGGCCTCAGAAGACCCGTAACACATTCAATTGTTTATTTTATTTTATTGCAAGCAATGAGTAATCAAATATAAATATTGATTACAACCTTTAATTTTATTTAGTTTTTGTTACATGATCATTTTCAACCACATATTCATAAAATAAAATATTCTACACGTAAATTCATAACCTCTCAATCATTTTCAGCCACACATTATCTAAAAAAATACTATTGAAAACTATGTTTTTACATTTTCAAGGCCATCACTTAAGCTCTGTTTGGTGGAGATTAAACTTATATTTTTAGTAGATTTTAATAAAAGTTGATATAATTTGTGGTTTAAAAATGATTATTTGATTTTAATTTGGATTAAAATGTGATTTTAATCAATTCTAAATGCTAGGGGGGCTTAATGTACAAATGTAAAAGGCTCAAAACCCTAGCTAAGAAATTCCTATTTGGGGTTTAACTTTGATATCGGGGAAAAAATAAAATTTAGTAGAGAAAAATGGCAAGAACAGCTCTGCTTCATTTGGCGCGATCTCGAATCAGCTATCTCAAATCCACAAATATTCAATCAGGTTCTTTTCAATTCCCTCCCTCCATGTCCATGTATGTATGTTTCCACTTTTGTGTGTACAATTTTTATCTATATATCTGTATTCGTGCTTATTTGCTTACTGTGTTCTGTTCATTCCGGAAAATCCATATTAATTTCTTCCCTAATTCTTCGAGGCTTATGGTTCTGGTTGTTAGGAAGCTGAAAGTACAATAAATTGAAGAAAAATTGGAATCTTCCCATCACGCAAAGCAAATGGGTTCTGGAGGATACGCGTTAGTTCAATATAGGTAGCGAAAATTTAAGGCATTCTAAAATTTTGCATACATCCACGCTGCCATTTTTAAGAATTCGATAGAGATTTTCTTATATCGTGGCAATTCGACCGCTGATGATCTGTTTGAGTCCTGGGATAAGCCTGTCTAAAAGATGCTAGAAGTTAGCACTAAATTTATCTACATAGCTTTTCCACTAACAGTTTAATTGACTTTTAGTAAATATCTGTTCAGATAATACCAACACATATCAGTATAAAAATCAAGTCGACACAAGGCGAAGTGGATGGAAGGCGGAGGTGGAGGAAATCCTAGTAGAGAACTCGATGTAAGAAGAGGGATGGTATTGTTTTTACTATTCCTTTAGGAAACAAAACGTAAACCGATACAGAAGTGGGGATAATAAAATACTAAGAGGAAATTTATGATGATTATCCTCATCGCAGTTTTTAAACAAAAGATAAAATGAGCAAATTCTAAGATGAAACAGAAAATGAGTTGAATTGATTTTTTTTTCTTGTATTGCAGCATGGCTAGTTATTCATAGACTTTCTCCAAATATCTCTCAAAGCATTGAAAAATGTAGAGGGTAAATTTTAAGCTGTACATTCTAGGTTGGTATATTTCCAAGTTTTTTTGAATAGTTTTCAACCCAAAATTTCAATACTTTGCACTGCACTAGTAGTTATTGTTAGAATTAGTGAAACTGTGAGACAAAGTGGTGTCTAAATTAGTGGTGATTTAACTAGAAGCATGTCATTGAGACTAAATAGTGTCTAAATTTTGGATCTTTATACTACTAGTCAGCAATAATGATAAAGAACAAATTTTGGTTGTGGTATTTTGATTTACAAATCTTTAGCCTGGGTTTGCTATTTATCTTTTAATAATACTAGTTGATGTGATGGTGGAAAATTGATTAATATGTCTGAAAGGCGTCTTCATATCTGAACCCCATATCCCCTTTCTTTTTAACCTTTTCTTTGACTCGCTCAACTTACAGTATTGGTCTTCATCCTGATCATCCACGAAACCTGGAAAACTCTTTTCTCACAGTCGCATATTTACTGTTCTTAGACTTGCTTATTCCATTGTGTTAGGTTATCATCTGGGTAGAGGTGCTCCTAATGCCAAAATTTACACTAATTTCCCCAAGCAGTTTGATACTGTTGAGAAACGATGGTTGTCTCAGTCTTCATTAGCTGAAAATGACAAGAAGATCAGTATTGGACCTCAAAAAGGAGGAGAATCTGGAAATGGAGAAAAAGACACTGGAATTGTTTATTATGGCCCAATATCAAATACTATCAAGAAAGTGAAGCTCCTCTCTCTTTCCACCTGCTGCCTCTCTGTGTCATTAGGTCCTGTAATAACTTTCATGACATCTCCTGACATGAATGTTATCTTGAAGGGTGCAGTGGCATCTTCTGTTATATTTCTAAGTGCTTCGACTACTGCAGCTCTTCACTGGTTTGTAAGCCCTTACGTTCACAAGCTTAGATGGCAGCCTGGTTCAGACAGCTTTGAGGTGGACATGATGACGTGGCTGGCAACTTATGTTCCTAAAACAATAAAGTTTGCAGATATCAGGCCACCAGAGACCAATCGGCCTTTTGTGTCGTTTATGGCTAACGATCAGTTTTATTTCGTTGATGCAGAGCACTGTCATAACAAGGCATTGTCGGCAAAACTTACCCCGCAAAAACAAGCTCGTGAATCAGCTTTCAAGAATTTGTGATGAGTAATACTATTTTTGTCGATTTGTCTGAAATTCCGCAGGAGTAATTTTTTGCTTCTCTTTTTATCACGTTGACGATTGCGTTAAAAATTGTAATAATGATATATTTGAGGTGAAATTTTTAGCGTAAACTTCACTTCCGTTTGCGGTTATCGATAAATGTTATGTAAAAAAGTGTGCTTTGTTTACGTTGTTGAGTTTATCTCTGTTTTATTTCAAGGGGAATTCTGCTAAAGGGATTAGCCCTCATCTTGGCCTGAAGTTACTGAATTCTTGCTGATGCATGTATGCAACATTTTGTCGAGACTACTTATGGGTCCATTTGTTATGCTTCTGTTTCTTGTAGAAGAACTTACTAATGAAATTGCTTTAGTCAACTTTCCTTAAAAGTTCTTCTAATAAGAAAAAGTACTTTTGGGAAATTATTCAAACACATTCAAAAGTTGTTTCTTAGTGTCAAATATAGCTTTTGACTTTTCAAAAGATTTGCCGCTCATGTCCTAAGATTTGTAGCTCTCTCTCTCTCTCTCTCGTCATTAAGGGAACAACGCATATATTTAAGAACCAAGAATGAGATAATTGCATGTTTGAATAAATTGTGTATCTAACTTGTAAAAGCACATTAATATTTGAGAATTTATTCCATATGACGAATTACTGCTGGTGAATTATCAAGAGGAAGAAGGTTTTGAATTTCTTGGGGGGGGGGGGGGGGGGGGGGGGG